AAACCATGGCCACCATGGTGGCCATGTGTGGTAACCATGGTTTCTAGGGAAACCATTGCCTCATAAGTTGTTTTTGAAATGAGACAGAAATAGTTTGTATCTGTAATCTGCATCTCTATGGTAAATTATCTCTGTGGTATACCCTGCAGATAGAGATGCCGCACTCTTAATTCCAGCAATGTAATGAAGCGATACCAACTTAGGTTTGATGTTTCGAGTGTTCTTTGCGCCAAATGATTGAGAAATATTTCCTCTGAGCTGTACTTCATAGAAACCCTTGCGAAGTCAGCACTAGTTTAGTGTAAAAAATATATAATTATGTTTGGGACTCACTTGCACTTTTGGTAAATTTAATAAAATAGGAGTGCAAGTGAGTCCTAGACATGTTTACTTTTTACAGGTGGTTTCGATATCGGATCTTCCTCTCTCCTAAAGTCCAATGGCAAAGCGTGCGAATGATCGATTATTATCGATATATATCGGGTTATTATCGATATTCCCCCATTTAAAGCGATGGTAAAGAATAAATTATTAAGGTGTATCAATACATCGCAAAGCACACCACGCCACCGCTTAGGTCCTATCTTTTAGATGATCAGATTCCATTATATTTTTTATTATTTGAATTATTTATAAGAGCTTTTGGTTTCAGAATCCGCAGGATATTTGCGATAACTCTGGAAACTATAACGAGAAAAAGCAATGCAGGTGGACAAAGGACCCATGCAATAAGAAGGTGTGCTGGTGCAATGAAGAGAAAGTAGATTTCTGTTTGTAGCCTTGGGAAAATAATAATATACGCGAAAAATGATTGAACATTTTGACGGAAAAATTAACGTCAAAGAAATGTAAAAAAGTACAAATTTTATATAAGAAAAGTAATCTTTTATCGATAATGGATTAAACGGATTGAATTAATGGACGGATGGATTTAATGGATTTTACATGGACTTTACGTAAAATTTATATAAAAAAGAGCCAAAAATTACTGGCAAGGCTGGGATTTTTTAAATGTAAAATGTACGTAATTTTCATATAAATATAATTTCTGTATTCTACATAAAAAGGGTGTTTTTTTACATAATATTTATTTAAAAATTATATGAATTGGCATAAAAGAATTAAGCAATTCTTTCTGCAGATCTAAATTTTTCTTAACATGAAAATGTAATTTTTGAGTAAATTTCACTTTAGTAGTCTATATTCAAGGGTGTTTTTTTTTAAATGATCTAAAACAGCATAAAAAACTAAGCAATACTTCTGGAGGTCTAATTTGTTTTAAAATAAAATTTTCATAAATTTTAAGTAAATTTCACTTTGGTATCCTAGATTTAAGAATGTTTTTTTAATATAATTTTTATTTAAAAATTACGTAAAAAGCCGTAAAACAACAACAATATATCTGCAGGTCTAAATTTCCTTAACGTAAAATTTATGTAAATTCAACTTTAGGCTTCTTCATACAAGGGATTCTTCATGAAATATGATTTTGATTTAAAACCTCTACGTAAAATACGGGGAAAAAATCACACGCTGCAAAATTTTTACGAGCCGATTACTTTCAATGCAAAAGCGTGGCCCTATTCCTCTTCTTGTAAATCACCAGGAGAGGGTCGGAAAAAATATTTGGAGAGTGCAGTAAAATAAACGTGCAACTGCACATGACCCTTTTCAGCGTGTGATCAGTTCTTGATTTACCAGATCAACCGTCTCTCTGCATTCTCAAAAAAAAGAAATGTGCATATAAGAGAAGTGAGCCTGGGGGAGTAGAGGACGGGGGAGTCAAACTTTAAAGTACACGACAATGGCTGATGCACCTAAACAAGAAATAAAACTATTGAAGTCATCTCCTCAATGAATGGCATAACTTCCACACACACGACATATCCGATACGATACTCTATAGAAACTCACGGACACGGAACACTTCAAAGGACCAATTATGAAATGTCCTCTTTCAATAAATTCTGAATTCATAAAACACTTTATATAAAATACAAATACAATATTCAATGATGCTTGGCGGAAGACTCCGAGGATGAGGATAGTAAATGTCAAATTTGAAGTAAACTCAAAACTTGTGCGATCGAGCTTCATTCGATTTCCGGTAGATACCTTGAAGTTTGTGTTCAAGTTTGTAGTTAGATAATAAGCTGTTGAAAATAATACAAAGATGCTACGGCAGATCCAGTCTCATGTTTGGGGGGGGGGGGGGGGAGGTGACACAATTTTTGGACCGCTCATAAAATACGTGACGTAGGACATCGGATTATTTGACATGACTCTTCCGTGTACCAGAGTTGCACCTCTGAAAAAGACGATCTGCGATCTCTTTGATCTATTTCGCCAAAGAAGAAGAATCGCTGATCTCAGTTTTTCCCTCTTTCTTATTTGAAGAGAAAATGATCGGAAGGGAAAAAGAGAGAAAAAAATATAGGCACAAAGTGGTCCTAACATTTTTCAATGATAAAATTTAAAGAAAAATGAGATGCAAACACTCCAAAATAAAAAAAAGCAAAATAAAACAATACGAGGAAGCAAAAAACGATGAAAAATATATTCTTGTACCGAAGGTAATTCCCGCAAACGACCTCTCACAATAATGTTTTTACCGGACGCTACTAAAACGCCTTCATACGGAAACGACGCAACAAGCTCTTCGTCTGTCGCACGAGCCGCGCCGCACGCGGAAAAAAATCACATTGCTGATCTAACAATTTTTTAGTTAAAAGAAAGTGACGGGCATGTTACAATGTAGATTTTACATTAAAACATGCTAATTTAACCACGCCTGTGGTAAAATGTACATTTGAGACATTTCTGTCACTTTTTTTAACAATTTAATTGTTAAAGCGATCCATTTTTTTCCAAGCACATGACTCTACCATGTTCGGACTCGCAAGATTTCATGGAACTTGAAAAACTTAAATCTTAAACTTCTGCGATGGACATGTTCAGAAAAGGATTCTCCAATACATACTTGGGACGAGATAATGAATTCCAGCTTGCAAACGCCTGCGACTTCCTTCGCTCTTTTCAGCACATAAAACAAAGATTCAAGTCATACTTGATTTCTTGGCAATTAAACCTAGTCGGTGGCACATAAACCAATCCAACACTTCCCATACCTTGGCATCTCATGGATACTTGGACAATGGGCCTGTTGCAAACTTATGCTAGAGCAAAAATAACAGTCGTTACTCTTAGAGAATGTCTCAACAATCACGATGAGCGCATCGGCAAAGTCTGAAATGCACTCCTTACTTCACAATTTGCATGAGAAATTTGCGTTTTTTCGAGCTTCCCGCCTCAGAAACGATACCACGACACAGGTGAATATTTCGTGAGAGTAGTGGCTGGATGGAATGACTATTCCATCCAGCCTCTGCTCACAAGGATACGACGAAATATTCAACACAGCCGACGCCAATCCGCCAAAACACATGTGTGACGGGATGATGATTCTAACCACATGATATCGTAACAATCGGCGTCTTTACGTTAAGAACGTCAAAGCGTCAAGATTGAGGTCGCCAGATTTTTACATCGCAGAGACTGTCATGATAACGTTCAGCGCGCGATGTGATTCACGTAGAGCATTGAGTTTTCATGAGCGGGTGGTTTGAATTCACGCACTAAGAATCATTAAATATCTTCTTAAAGAGTTTATTTCCGTAATTTTCGTTGTGCGCATCGTGTTCTACGTGAAATTTTGATTAAGAAACATGTATCAGAATGCTGAAATTCGTACCTTGTCTAGTGGTCCATTGGCGTCCGTTCGGAGTGTCGGCGCCTGCATTTCCGAGTACCTCGGAGCTTTAGTTATTTCTTGCGCAATATCAGACAGTCGGGAAACAAATCCGTAATGTACGAGATAAGAGACGCATCGGTGTCCGATAAACATTCGATGATAGATTTTAGTTCTGCACGCAGAGACTTTAGTTTACTTTTCTACCCCTGTGTTAGAGTCTCCCAGAAAACCTCATCAATGCTCTGCTGAGGGACCGTTCAAATATTACTTAACGCACTTTGGAGGAAAGGGGGGTTGAGCCAGCGTTACGGTGCGTTACAAGGGGGGGGGTTAAGCTCAGTGTTAAGCTGGGTACGCACTAGAGCGTTTTGGACGAACGAACAGAACGAGCCGAGCGCTGCGAGCAGTTTGAGCACGTATTCGACATGTTCACAAGGTCTATCCGGTTCAAGTATAACAGGATGAGATTTTATTGAAGATAAGTCCTATTCCACATTTTCATGCTGTCTTTCGTCTTAAAATAATCACTTTTTATCTTCTCTATTTTAAGGGTGGGATGAGCCGAAACAGTATGCATGCCCCTACGATCATTGCTTGAAAAGTTATAAACACAGTGTGATGCTAACAAAACACATAAGATCCGTGCACGAAGGAAAAAGCACTCAACATCGTGACAAGCCCGCGCCTCCCCGAGCGGATTGATATGATCAAATCATCGACCAAAATTATGAATTCCTCAGGAAAACATAATAAAGCATATCAGAAAAAACATTTTACATGCAAAATGAGTACATATTCAACATGGCCGACGCCAACCCGCCAAAACACACTTGACGAGACGGGATTTTATCAATCAGCGTGTTTATATTTACATTTTCCTTGCGTTGGTGAAGGTCATGGTGCCTCCTCAAGATTTGCGCGCGGAGGCGTCAGCCATGTCAAATAATGTGTAGCATCCTAGTGCGCAAGGGTTGGATGGATTGACTTTAATGAATTGTTTGAGGTCTGTCTGCCTTCACACGTTACTCATTTTTTGCCCCGTGATGCCCCACTATATCATTCCTCATTCTAGTTTTGTACTCTTCAAACTGAGTTCAGTTGCGGAACATAATTATTCCAATATTCTCATCAATATGTCAAGCTTCTATCATCATTATTGTCACTTTATTTGTTAAGAATGAAAAATACATGTAACTGTTTTAAATAGTAAGAAAATAATCGGAGCAGGATTAATGAAAATTGATAAAAATTCCAAGAAATTATATTTATTTATTTGTTTTCTAAAAATGAAAATGCAAAATGAAATCTGCAATGATGCTCTTATCAATAAGTGCTCTTAGATTTTTACAATCACCATGTTCTTGCACTGTGAGTCTCTTTTTAATATTGCTTGATTCTGAGATGCACATAGCATAAAAAATCACCCGAGATACCCACAGAACCATTGAGGGGAGTGTTCAACAGGTTGATCATCCTGCTAGGAAGACCCATCATCGTCTGAATTAGTAGATCCTTCGGATATTCTTGTTATTTTCCTTTCGAGATAATCTTGTACTTCGTCATATGTTCTTTTGTACAGTACACTGATATCATCACTCTCTTCAATTGATGGACTAAATGCAGCGATATGTTTGTTTAAAATCTCTAATGCAGTTTTAAATTTATTACTTGATGATGCAATAAAAGATTTCCTACCTCTGTCTAGTGAATAGACCTGGACCCCTTGATTCTCTAAAACCCATAAGTCTTTTTCTCCAGTCAGGAGAATGTATAGAGGTGGTTTCAGCAAAGGAATACGCTGACTCAGAATTACATTTAAGCTGTTGGCAATATGGTAGACTAGCACTTCATTGTGTTTGTGCAAAGACACACATGCAATTTGTAATGTTGAGTCGAACTGTGTCAGTTGCACTTTGGTGACAGGAATAGGTTTTTCAGTGTCAGGTTGGACATCATCAGAGCAATTGTAAACGCTCAGCTCTGCGCCAGTCAGATAATTCCAGAACCTGATTGTCCCATCACCGGAACTAGAGAGAATTATTTTAGCACTAGCACTGAATAGGTTGATGCTGGTTACAAACTCTTCGTGACCTAGGCAGTAAGTCTGGATATTGTAACTGTTTGGGTAGTGAGAAACCCGGATTTTTTCGTCTCTGTCGCACGTAACGATGAAGTTGTCTGGAGTTAGGATCATATCCAATAAAATTGAGACGTGTCCTAGGAGGAAAGTTCCTTCCTCCTTTGAACTATCAAGATTGAACGAAAGCACTTCGCCCGATTTGTCCGCCACGATTACGCTCTCGCTGTCAGCTGTGAAACAGATTTTGCTTCCTCCACGCGGAATCTTCTTCGACACCACAAGCTGCCAGTTATCGATGTCCCAAACGCTCAACCGTTTGTTGTTTATAGAGTATGCAAACCATTTACCACACGGCGAAATTGCAGAGGATGCAACGTCAAGCTCTCTGTTGTATCCGGAGAATCGACTGGGACGATTAGGTCCTGCTTCGACAAGATTGAATTTCTGATCTGATAGTCTCAAAAATATTGAGCTGTACTTCGAAGTTACAGCGATGAGATTATTGCTCACAGATATGCACGCCATCAGTATAGAATTTAACGCCCCAAAAACTTCTTTAATAAGTGCCTACGCATAAAAAGTCCGCACAGCACAATCGTTGAGTCTGCTTGACAGACACACGTGTGATGAATAAAGCTACGACTGAGGTTTCAGATTGGGGATGACGGGGTACGATCTCAACCCGTGTCAATAATTTCACAGAGACACTGACTTGAATCCGAATTTAAAGATTTTATACGCATTTATGCACACTGTAATCAGACTTAAAACCACAATAAAAAAACCAAAAACCGTGGACGGGCAAGCTGTGCCCGGCTCGAAATAAAGAGGAACTCTGCCATGCTAAGGAAGAACGCCGTATGAACATTCGAGAGTTGCCAAATCTCCTTCGATAAAATGTTCATTTCTGGGGAAAGCTATGAATATTCCTTCTTGACATTTTCAGGACTTTTTGGTGAAATTGCGAGGCACATAACCGAAAAATTGGAAGAAAAATATTCATTAGTTTACCAGGAAATTCGTGTTTTAGCAAAGGAAATTTGGCAACGCCTGAAGATTTATACGGCGTTTTTCCTTAGTACGGCAGAACTGCGCTGTTGTCATTGCCCTACATCGGCGATACGCGAGAGCCATGTCGTGATTTGTTTTAAACTATGTACGATTCGATTCGAACTAAAAAGTCAAAAAGATTCATTCCTCAAATCATTTTGGAGAAATTTATACTCGAATGTGTACACAGAAAAAAGAGTAACCAAAATTTCGTGTTATTACGAGAAGTAAAACTCGAAGTAACACAAAGCTTTTGGTTAATTCTGCCGTCCACAGCAAAAACGCCGTGACTCCATTCGAGCTTTTTCCACTTTTTCCAGCACGTACTGCTCTATCATAAGAAAATCCAACTATTGCCACAAGGTTTCATTTTTAGTTCTCAATGATGTGGCGGAGTTGTATTGAAAAAATGAAGGATGAATATTTCCTAGGTTCTCTGTAAAGCAGCATTTTGTCAGGAAAAATTGAAAAAGTGTTGAATGGAGTTACGGCATTTTTACTTAAGATGGCAGAATTCTTTAGGCATGGGTTGGTTTTCCTTGTGGTTAAATTCACGAAAGCTTTGTGATACGTCGACCAAATCCTTGGGTTGAAAATCTGCATGCCACCTCTTTGAAAATTCGGGGCCAGAGAGGATCGAACCTGAATCACTTTTAATACGCTTATGTTACTTTTTTGTGTCAAATCGACCCACAGGACTTGATAGCTGAACACAATGTTGTGTCCAATCGACCCAAACCGTAGGTTACTCTGACTGAAACATCGGATCATGAGATAGTTCCTGCCAAACGTATGTACTCTTATTTATCTCCCAATGCGATGCTCAGAGGTTGTGACTTGCGAATAGCTAGCGCATTGGATTACCTCCGATGTGACTTAGGATCCATCCTGGTGACTAGTTTTTTACGAGGTCTCAGATTTCAACACAAAGATTTGCTCACCTCGACCCAAAGATTAAGTCAATTTGACACAGGGAAAACTGACACACAAAAAATCAACCACGACATGTGTTAGTCGTTTTTTACTCCCCATATTATAACATGATTTTGGTTACCTTTTTCTTACATTGTACCTGTATGTGCTCCTTGTTCGAATACCTAATTTTCCTTAGCGCGTGCGCAGTGGGCACTTATTCCCAAGTGACTATTTGGGAGAAGATCTTCCTTAGGAAGTACCAAGTCGTGCGAGAGCCGAATTGATTTAATTTTCTCGGAAAACAATAAAATTACTGAATTTGTTCACATAACACTGCGCACGCAACACACAGGAAGAACTTTGAAACGGAAGTGAATGATATGGTGCACCAAGAGCAAAGAGCCGAAAACAATAAGAAAGGCTGCGTCTGTTGCACTGCCGTGCTAAAGGTTCAGTTGCACGATCAAATTGAGCCAACAAACTGAAGCTCTGATTGGTGGAAAAAGACCTGAGGTGAGGATGCGACCAATGAGAGGCCCAATTTGATGGCTCAATTTGATCGTGTAACTGGACCTCAAGGAGGAGCGCTGTATGAGCCTCCAAATGTTGCCGTATCTCCTTCAATGGAAAACAAATTTACCGGAAAACTGTATTTTTCTTCAAATTTTTCAAACAATTTTGCTTGTAATTTAATCAAAAATATCTAAAAATTTTAAAGGAAAAGAGAAAACTTTCTTCAAAAATACATATCAATTCCGGTACAATTTGGCAATGGCGTTTTTCCTTATCATGACAGTACAAAGACACTAATCGTGGCGAACCATCAAGGAGATAAAATAGATAGACCATGATCCTTTCAGAAAGGTTACATAATAAAATCACCACCACAGCTACACGTGTCAACAATGGCAAATACAGAGTGTCGAAGAAAAAACGGGACACCAACGTGCGATTATTAGGGTTGAAAGAAGATTTTACGACATTAGTGGAGTGGGACAACTTAAATGAGCGGTAAGAAATAAGATTTACGTGAACCGCAGTAAGAGGGTATGAACCCCCCCCCCCCCTCCCCATTTGAACCGTTTCCGAAAATAAGCTTCCCAATTTTGAATTTAAATTGAAGTTGGATAATTTAACACGGGCTAGCATAGGAAAGCCGACTCCTCTAAATTATTTATTTTCAGCCTCACCTTCAGTTTATAGGATTTGATCAGTGTCAGTCTCATTATATTTTATGATGCCTGGTTTTGCCTGATGTTTTATTTACTTACAGAACAATGGAACAGAATAAGAATACCTCTTAACCCTCTATGAATTTATCCTGGACTGTAAAGACTATACTCACAGAATATTCTGTCGGATTTTGTTGCATTATCTCTGGGAGGCATAAAACTATCAAGAGACTGGTTTAGCTAGTTGTACTTAAATGCATTTGATTTGTGTCAAGGAAAGAGAACGGAAAACGACGGATTTTGGATGTAGCGCCTTGATACAACTATTCGTGTTCCGGAGTTGTCCGCGTTGCGTACGTCAAAATTGAAGGCGTTTTGATTTGCCTTGCGCGCACCGTAATACGCGCAGAGCGGAGCGCTATTTTAGTTTCATCAAGGAGCAAATTGTGCATTTTATTTCTGGATGATTTTGTCTCTATGCCATCATATGGACATCAGCGTAACTAAATCAGACGTTTCTGACAATTTTTTTGTATCCTGATTCCAGTGTCAAGACTATATAAGAGCTCACAGTAATTCCCAATCAGTGAATCAGCATAGACCAAAAGCTGTTATGAGTATCATCAAATAACGGTATCTTTTTTACTCCTAAAAAAATGTTCACCTTCAATATCTTCAACGAATAAAAAATTCACAAGGTTGATTCACAAGGAAACATTTCGGGCTTCGCATGAAGCTTCTTTTATATCGGAAAATGTTTAGAGTTAGTAGAAAATTTTCATCATTTAGAAGAAAGTATTAAGCAAAAATTATAATTCGAGTTTTTACAATTTTTATGAAACGTTTTCTCATTGATAACCGTTACAGTGCTCTTGCAGGGCCAGTTTTTGAGCGTTTTTGCTGCACAATGTGGAAACAAGAAACAAAAAATAAAACGCCAGTGAAAGTTAGGCAGCATCTAAAGTAGTTAGCCTCTTTCCGGTTAATTTCATGTATTTGATGACATTAAGACAAAACCATCCTGAAATAAAATACACGTTATTCTCATCGATGAAATTGTAAAATAGCGCTCACCTCTACACCTATCAGTTCGCGCGCAGGACAAGTCAGAACGCCTTCAATTTTTAGGTATGCCACGCGGACAACTTCGGAACATGAATAATAGTCGCATCTAGGCGCTACATCCCACGTCCATCGTTTTGCATGTTTTAAATCAAACGCGTTGAACTGGGGGTGGCCAAACCACATCAGATATCGCTTAATCTTGCTTTAGTTTCGTATGTATAACGGAAAAGCAAAACCAAATTCTAATTTGAATTTTTGTAAACGTGTGTTCTTTACATAGACGGTGGAACTACCAGACCACTTATCTCAGTTTGTGACGTTGTCGACTTCCTGTCATACTTTATTTTTGAAATGGAAAACTACTCGACGTCAATTTGTGAAAACTTCCGTGTTTTTTCCTATCTATGAGAAGGAAACTCTGTGAAAATTTCAAGAAATGATATGGGTTTTTTCTCCTTCAAAAAAATGGGATTGGAGTGGAGTTTAGGTACTTGGTCTGGTAGTCCCACCGTCGATATTTGTATGGTGGAAGTACCTTATCACGTATATCAATTTGCTACGTTGCAAATCTCCTATCACATTGTACTTTTTTGTTGGATATTTCTGCCTCGTCTATTAGCATCCTCTGATTATTTCGCGCTAGTAAGCCGAACAAGAGTTTCTTCAAACTGAAATATATGAGCGGAATGAATATATATATATATATATATATATATATCTAGTATGGATATCTGTAGAGATCCGTAAGTGAGTATTTCCACCATCGACGTGGTGATTAATATTATTTCAACGGGCAAAACTACTAATATGAAATTGCAAGAAATCATTAAATCCTGAGCTGCTTGAATAATGCCTGTTCAAGATCTTACTCGATGGGAAATTAGACAATGTGACAATGTGTAAAAAAATCACATATCTAGTTTCATATCATAGCATATCTTCTTCCACAAATCGAAAGTAGAAATAACGATTCCCAAAACAGAAAGTTCGGAAATGAACTCTTGAACGAGACATTGGCAAGTGTTCTCGACGCGGTTAAAAAATGACGCTTGAACTAAACAAAGTGACGTCGTTGGTATTATTGACATCGAACCAATCTTAATTGTAACTGGATCCATTAGATAGAACGCCGTATGAACATTCGAGAGTTGCCCAGTTTTCATTGATAAAACATGTATTTTTGATAACATCCGTGCATGTTTTTACCTGATATTTTCAGATAATTTAGATTAAATCGCGTAGGAAATTGTCTGAAATTTTTGGAAAATAATATTCACGATTTTCCCAGTAAATTCGGTTTTTATCGGAGGAAACCTGGCAACGTCTGGAGGCTCATAGGGCGTTCCTCCTTAGCACGGCAGAGCTCTTGGGCAATGAATTAAACGAGCAGTTGAACTTGAAAAGCAAACTCATGCTGTATTTAAACTATTTTTCAATAATGTAACTGGAATATTGACCATGAGTGAGGAGAGTATAGAAAACTCGTAAATTTGGAGGTTGGGTTTGATCACATATCGACGGTGTAAGTCGGCAATCACATAACTCGTTTGCGGTGTCTGAAAATCTCCGCCTCTATAATATTTTTTTGAAGGAGAACAAATGGACATCATTCCTTGAAGTTTTTGCAGAATTTTCTTCTTACAGAGAGGAAAAATTACGACGGTTTTAAAGAATTGTCGTTGAGTAGTTTTCCGTTTAAAAAATAAAGTATGATAGGAAGTCTGCGACGTCGCAAACCGAGTTATGTGATTGCCGACTTACACCGTCGATATACCTCTTAGAGCCCAAAAGGGTAGTCAACCTATGAACTCGAATTATTAGGTGGTAATTCAAACTGAGAGAGTAGGTGCACGGATCAAAAATTATAAAAGCACGCGTAGAAAACCTTGATTTCGCATAAATTTTCTCCATTTCAGAGTCTTCATCCTTAAAAACGCTCGTTCACAATGCGCAGTCGGCCCTATTGATTAATATTCCAAATGTATAGGTTGACAGCGGCACTTCTCCAGTGATTCTCGTTCTTTACGTTGTGGCACTTTTGGGCCCTAAGAGCTAAGAGTTGTCCATACTCTTCCTATAAAGTTACTCTAATTCCTAATCAAATGTGCTGGGACCCCAGTTTTTTTATATACAATTGAGCACTGGCCACCCTCACACAAGTAGTCGAAATTAGGGCTCTCTTCCTCCTCTTCGAGCACGATGTCCGGGAGCTTCGGGGGTTTGAAATGTTGCCAATGCGTAGGCGCTTGTTTAGGCGGAGACGGAGGCGGAGATGCGTCCGATCGGCGAGGCGGTGGTGGAGGCGGAGAAAGTTCCCAACGAGTAGCCGGAGGTGGTTCCCGACGGGCAGGCGACGGAAGCTTCCTCGATCGCGGAGGTGAGGTTGGTTTTTGAATCGGCGCCTCTTTTTCCTTCCCGTACTTGCCCCAATTGTAGCCGTATTTCGCCCAATCTTCGTAACTGGAACAAAAATACCTCATAGACCCAGTGGCGTAACGGACTTCCGCTGGGCCCCCTGCAAAATTTTTTCTAGGGCCCCCCCCATGTCGATAAAATTCCAAAATCATCCCCCCTCCCGCCCCTCTACTTCCCTCACCCCTCCCCGTTTTTTGGCCCGAGAAATTTCAAATCACGGACTTGGACTTGGAATGCCTCTACCCTCACTGTCCCGGATCCCGTACCCGATTAAATGGGGCCCCTAAAGGATCAAGGGTCTAAAGGGTGGCGGGGGCCTAGCCCAGGCCCAAGCATCGAAGGGCCTCCAAGGGCCTTGTGGGCCCTTTAGATTCATGGGTCACCCAAAGCCCGAAATACCTACGAAAAGTGACAAAAAAGAGAAAAATTTAGTAATCACTGAGTGGACATTGGAAGGCAGGGGCCCTTCAGCAAAAAAAAGTTAGGAACAGTCCAAAAGAAGTATGAAAAATCCTGAGCTAACAATAAAAATCAGCGGAAGAAGCCCCATCTCGGTAAGTAAAGGCCCAAAGTTTGAAACCAAAGCTAAGCATCAAAGAGACAGAGAAAAACAAAATTTCGGAGGCCGGGAGCACGGAGGGCCCCCCTGCATAGCAGGGTCTGCGGGGGCGCCCGTTACGCCACTGCATAGACCGTATTCGATAATGGCTCGATGTATATCGTTTGGTTCAAGACAATAGAACATAACCTCAAACCAAACTATTAGGATTCAAGTTGGAAAAGCTGAAAATGAGAAAATTTCTAACAATTTCACTTCGCATTGGTATTTGGCACTCAAAAGGATAAAACATCTGTTACAAAAGACCCGTTCCCTCCGATTTCTAAATTGCCTTTTGAGGCTATGTTTATGTTTTGAACCAATCGATATCGATACAATCTCACCTGTTTGATGTATCGGATACGATCTATTAAGGTGCTTCGATGGGCGCCATATTTTGTGTCAGAATGGCTTCCGATATATCGCTGCATCGCATCAGTTGGTTCCATTCTTTCAGCCACTCGTCATTTTTCTCCAATTTTGAGATCGCATTTCTGCTGTCAGGAGACTAAAGCACTCACTTACCAATTTTAACAAATAAATTCAACGTAATAAAGGCGTGGTTTTTTCAGAGAGAAAATATCGCATTCGAGTGCAGTTTCGATATCAGTATCGAATGCGATGTTTTCTCTCTGAGAAAACCACGCCTTTATTACGTTGAATTTCTTCGTTAAAATTGGTGAGTGAGTGCTTTAGTCTCCTGACAATAGAATTGCGATCTCAAAATTGGAGAAAAATGACGAGTAGCTGAAAAAATGGAACCAATTGATGCGATGTATCGCATGCCGTTCTGACACAAAATATGGCGTCCATCGAATCACCTTATGGTGATTCGATGGACGACGAACGTAAACTTATACGTACGATACGTATTTTGTGTTAGAACGACGTGCGATTTATCGCATCAATTCGTTCTTTAATTTCAGATGCTTGTCATTTTTTTCGAATTTCGAGATCGCACTTCTGGTGTCATGAGACTGCAGAATTCATGTATCAAATTTGACAAAGGAGTTCAACGTAATAAATGCGTGGTTTTTTAGAGGAAATATACAGCATTCGATACTGCTATCGAAACTTCACTCGAATGCGATATTTTTCCTCTGAAAATACCACGTCTTTTTTTTGTTGAATTTCTTCGTCTTTAGTACGTGAATTCTTCAGTCTCGTGACAACAGAGGGCGATCTCAAAATTCGAGAAAAATGACGAGTAGCTGAAAAAATGGAACCAATCGATGCGATACATCGCACGGAATTTTGACATAAAATATGGCGCCCATCGAATCACCTTAAGACGCGGTTTTTTAGTAAAACTGTCATTTTACACCAAAAGACCGAAGACCGAAGACTCTGGGGTTTCCGGCACCGATGTTGTCCTCGCACTAATTATTTGGTGTTTTTTTGTATTTGTTTTTAAATTGTATGTTACTTGGGATCCTTACCCATATTTTTGTATGGATCAATTAATAGCGTTCATAAGATATGTTTTGAGGCCTTAAAAGCCCTGTTTATCTATATAAAACTACCAGGGGGTCCGCCCCCTGGCCGCTACGCGGCCCAACTCCTGGGACGATGCGCGCTCTTCAAGGCCGCTTCGTGGCCAGCGATATCGTCGGAATTATTGTGTTTAGCAAATGGGTGGTTTTTATACAAGGATTAAAAATAAACAAGTGGTACGGGATATAACAAAATAATATGAACTATGCAAAACGATAATCCGGGTATCGGAACTTGGCTGTTTTAAAAACGCCTTCAAATGCGGCGTGATACCTCACGCATTCCGGAGAGTTCAAATAGTTGTATCATTGCGCTGTAAGAATGTGACGGAAGATTAAAATGGAAATAGCCTCCATGCACACTAGGCTTTTCGATTTCCTTTGGCATTTTTGCAGTGGTGATTGCAAAGCTGAATTGCGCTCCAGCTAGAATCGTATTTAGGAAATGGGTGGTTTTTATACGAGGATTAAGAATAAACAAGTGGTTAGAAAGGAAAGCAAAATAATATGAACTATGCAAAACGATAATCCGGGTATCGGAACTTGGCTGTTTTGAAAACGCCTTCAAATGCGGCGTGATACCTCACGCATTCCGGAGAGTTCAAATAGTTGTATCATTGCGCCGAAAGAATGTGACGGAAGATTAAAATGGAAATAGCCTCCATGCACGCTAGGCTTTTCAATTTCCTTCGACATTTTTGCAGTCGTGAATGCATAGCTGAATTGCGCTCCAGCTAGAACTGTCCGGACGAATGAATTGAAATTACCTACAGTAAATTAAGAATTAAAATGAAAAGAGATATCATTAACAACTAGAAGCAAATAAAAAATAAAACCACCCATTCCCTTAACTCTACGAATTTTTGCGCATTGAAGGTGTAATTTATACGGAATGTGTCATGATTTCGTCCCCTTTCCGGTCTAATACTGTCCTAGATATGTCTCTGAAAGCCGACTTTGGCAGTTTTGACAGTCAAATGCGGATTTTGCAGTTTTGCAATCGAATGCCAAAAAATCCGTTTTCCCCGTCAAATTCAGCCTTCAGATTGATGTTTAGGCTCGTTTTAGAGGTGCACAGAGACCGGAAACGACCACAATTAGAGAGCTGCCATGTTCCGGTAGACGAGTTCCGAGTCCGGTGGGCGCCGAGCTTCGGACACTTTTTCGGTACCCGTTCGATCCAAAATGGCGGTGTGGAACACGTTATAATTCCTATCTTCTTTGTTTATATCGGATAGCTGGGTCCCCGTGTTTCGAAAGCAATCGACAAGGTATCGAAAAAGTGACCCGGCGTCACACAGGAGTCTCGGAATTCGGGACCTGGAAAATGCTTAAAAGGAGCACCAGCTCTCCCACTTACATCCCGACTCTATGCACTCCATGCTCTCTCTCTACTTATATAATCGTTTCTTAGTCATCAGCCTGTGTCGCACTATCAAAACACTCCATCGAAATGTCAAAGTCAAGTGCTGTGATTGGTCCAAGTCATGGAAGAAGCCAATCACAACACCTGAGCTTGATATTTCGATGGAGTATTTTGATAGTGCGACACAGGCTAATGAAAAGCGAGATGGAGGGATGCTTACTCGGTCTTGGGGGCCTCTTTCTGGACGAACCCGATAGTTGGCGGGATTTCACCGTACGACGATGCGACCCAGGTCGTGCCACCACCCAGCTCACTGCTGCTGATAGGTTTCTGACGCCCCGTCGGTCCCATCAGCCCGGCCGCCCTTCTTTGTTCGTCCAGTTTCCGGGCCTCCTCGGCCCTTCGTGCCATCGCCTGTAAGCTACCACTGCTCCAACCCCCGGTGTACGACGCCGGTGTCTTCGGCGGGATCTTCGCCGGGGACCGTGAGCGCTCGCGCTCCCGTTTCGGCTCCTGTCGCTCGCGCTCCCGTTTCGGCTCCTGTCGCTCGGGTGACTCCGAACGTACCTACAGAGATAGATATACACATTTTTACGAGGCAGCCCCAGACAATGGAGATGTTGCAATGGAGCAATGGATGGATGGATGGATGGATGGATGTTGCAATGGATGTTGCAATGGAGATGTTGAATTTGCGGTTTGACTATCGATTCATATGCGGATTACATTTTGCAAAAAGGAACCATTACCTCTGCCTCTCCCATAAAAGCACATATCTGCATAGGGAAACCAATAGCATGTATGCTGTTTCTAAAATGGACCGGAAATAGTGGTTCCTAATCACAAAATGGAATCCATGTTAAAGTTGGCGAGAAACACGATGGTGCCACTGGGTTTCTCTGAAATCAACTCCCAAGCCCATAAAAAGCTCTCAAGTTGAGGCCAAAATGACCGGGGATATCCCACGCTATCCTGAGAGTCCATTTCTACATTAAGGCAAACTCTCCATGCAAAGATAGGGAGCAAATACATTTGCAGGGTTGCCGTGATTTCAGTTTTAGAGTCCCCAAATAAAGTGGCAGCCCTGTCAATGTATTTGCTCCCTATCTTTGCATGGAGAGTTTGTCTTGATGTAGAGGCGGACTCTCAGGATAGCGTGAGATATCCCCGGTCATTTTGGCCTCAACTTGAGAGCTTTTTTTGAGCTTGGGAGTTGATTTCAGAGAAAACCAGTGGCACCATCGTGTTTCTCGCCAACTTTCACATATGAATCGATTGTCAAATCGCAAATTCCTCACACATGCAACATCTCCATAGTGAAAGGAGAAAAACAAGGAGGATCAAATGGACTACATTTTGCAATTTGGAACAATAAATTCTAGCCCGGTTTAAAAACAACGCTTGTGCCATTAGTTTCCCTATGCACATACGTGTTTTTCCAGAAGAGCCAGAATTTATAGTTCCAAATTGCAAAATGCAGTCAAAATGATGAAGAAAGTGTCCCACTGTATCAATGATCGCTTGCTCCTCTCATTGACGGATCCAGTAGATTGACAAAGTTGCTTTTCTCCATTTTAACCCATGGATATGTATCTGTCGAAGGCGAATAGTCAAATCGGGCATTTTGTCAAATAATTGGGCAAATAGTCAAATACTCTTACTTAGATTGAAATTTTGATTATTTTCCTATAATTTTAGAAAAAAATAATTTATTGCTCCCATAAGAAAGAATTCTCTGTAAGAATATGCAGCATACAGTAGTACCTAGTTTCCACGATTTTTAGTTCCTGAACGCACATTTATCTTGAAATTTTCAGCACGTCATAAAACATAGAATATTTAAAATTTTAGCATTTAATTGTACGAGAGGCATTTACAAAGGACGAAACAAGGAGAGTTTTCGGATTTGAAGAGTTACTCTTCCCAAAATATTGAAAACCCGTAAAGTCGCCTCGCCATAACTTTACAGAATTCCGTGAACTATCAAAATATGACTACCGGTCTAGGCATTTGATAAAATGCCTNTCCGTTAATTTAACCCAATGACTTGGTCAATAACCCAAGAAAATTTTTTAAAAATATGTTAGCCACACACGTTTAGGTTACTTGGTGTTCTTCGTCACATACTAACACAAAAATGTCGGTTTCTTATACATAGATAATTTGCCTACGAAGCAGCCTCAGACAATGATAACATGTGAAAAACAAGAGGAAAAAAGGGGAACAAGACTAAAATACAAGAGTAAAAAACCCGAGACGTTTTCAGTCGGAAAATAAAGTAAAAATTATAAAAAATATCGATGGAAAAACCTGAGACTTACACTGCCATGCTAAGGAAAAACGCCGTATGGACCTCCAGCCGTTGCCGGATTTTCTACGATAAAATATTGATTTTTGAGGAAAGTCATGTATATTTTTCTTTGAAACTCTCAGATAATTTAGATTAAATCACGAGAAAAATTATTATCCGAACATATTCCAAATTTTCCTGATAAATTCGTTCTTTATCGAGATGGTAACATCTGAAGGCTCATCAGGTGTTCTTCCTTCGCATGGCAGTACAAGTTATGGTGGCCGAGACCCGTGAAAAATCGGGAGAAAATCGAGGGAGGTTTTTCTCGGATCTCGACCAGCGACATGTAGGTTTCAGGTTTTTTCATAGGTATTTTTTGATTTTCGATTTATTTTCCGACTGAAAATGACTCAGTGTTGAGTCGACTCTATGCTGCCGTGTTAAGGAGAAACGCCGTATGAACATTCGAGAGCTGCCAAATTTTCTCTTAGAAAGTGTTTATTTTAGAAGACAGTTATGAATATTTTCCCTTGAAATTTTCAGACTTTTTAGATCAAAGTAAGAACAAAATTATCTGAAAAATCTGGGAAACATATCAACAAAGCCCGAAAAGTCATGATTTGTCCATGGAGATTTGGCAATGGCTGATGGTTTATACGGCGTTCTTCCTTAGCACGACTGTGTGAGTAAATGTAGGAATACAAGAATGCTTATGTTCGGCAGGACACTTTCATCATAATCCGATTCTGCACAGTACCCTACGGTTTTAGTTGATTTAACACAAAATTGTGTTGAACAACCAAGTTCTCCGGGCTGAAAATCTGGCACAAAAAACTAACACAAAGTAACAAACAAGTAGTAAGACCAAACACGGGAACTTTGAACTGTGTACTTTCCGTGTGCAGAACTAATGTACTCTTATTATCTCGTTTGTCCTCGCGACTTGAGAGTGGCTAGCGCGTCGGACTACCACCGATGCGATCCAGGTTCGATCCTCGCGGCTGCCGCCTAATTTTAATGAGCTCGCAGATTTTCAACGCAGAGATTTCGTCACTTCAACCAAAAATTTGGTAGATTCGACACAGGGAAAACTATCACACAAAAAATTAACGAACAGCTTAAGTTACTTCGTGTTTTACCTCCCATATTGACTCAAAAGTTTGGCTACTTCCTCTTACTGTGAACATGGTTCCCACTTACCTGCGCGGGCGGTAAGGAGAAATGGGGTGGTGATGGGGGTGGTGTTGACTGCTTCCCTGTTGGAGAAGGAGAGCGTGACTTTTGCCTCTGTGGGGGTGATTTTTTCGGTGTCGATTGTGGCGTAGGTCCCTTTGGTGGTGACGGTGGTGGCGTAGATCCCTTCTTCGGTGAAGGTTGCGGCGAGGGCCCCTTTTGCGGGGAAGGTTGCGGTGAGGGCCCCTTTTGTGAGGACGGTGGTGGCGTAGATCCCTTCTTCGGTGAAGGTTGCGGTGAGGGCCCCTTTTGTGGGGACGGTGGTGGCGTAGATCCCTTCTTCGGTGAAGGTTGCGGCGAGGGCCCCTTTTGTGGGGACGGTGGTGGCGTAGATCCCTTCTTCGGTGAAGGTTGCGGCGAGGGCCCCTTTTGTGGGGACGGTGGTGGCGTAGTTCCCCTTGAAGGAGGTGTCACCGATCGTTGGAGGTGATCCACGCCCACCTCATGATCACTTTCACCGCCACTGTTTATCGCAACATCATGTTCCGCATCGAACTTGCGACTTCCTGATTTTTTCTTCCTTCCATCTCCGCCAACTTCGTTGTCACTGGAAGTGTCAATCCTAACGGCCTTATGAACTTTTGGTCTTTTCTTCTTTCGATCTCCTTTGCTATCTTTTCTCTCTAATGCCATTCTGTTGTTCGTCGATGCGTCTTTCCTAGAAGAAAGGAAGGGAATAAGTAACCGAGTGGGACTTCTGAGATTATTTACACAACTGCAAAGCTGCCCCCCCCCCCCCCCCCCCCCCCNGAGCATCGCGACTCAAATATATTTTATAAATCGCCCTGTTGACTGTTTTTAGTCTTAGTATTTCCTGTAAATTTGAAATCTTCCAGGATTGTTTTTTAAAACTGTTAAGATTGTAATCACTCTCTTGAGACGATACATTCGCAAATACATTTAAAATGATTTGCAATCATTTTTGTGACAGGATCATTTCAAGAACTTATTCACAAACGTTCTAACAGTATTTTCGATGGTTAGTTTTTTTTAAACAAATTTTCTTTAAAAAAAAACACGTTTTAAAATTTTAAACATTTGAAAAATTACTCTGACGGTTTTACAAATTCAAATATTGTCAGAAATATTAGAACCAATTTTTTTTAGCAAGTGAAAAATAGCCATTGAACTTAGTTTATCAGCAACATCATAAAGTTTTTAAAATATTTCCAAGTTACTGGTATTTTTAGAATATTTATGATTTTAACAGGTATTGATACGGAAACTTACCCTAGAGCCGCCTCGCGATTTTTATCAGATTTACCACTAAAACTGAGTTGACGCCATTTGTCAGAAATACTCCGAATTACCTGCAAAAATTCGTGAATTCATTATTTATTCGTTACTCTCTGAATTTTCTTTCTGGACCAGATTTCAGTGACGTTTCTTCCGCATATTTATGACAGAAATTGAAATCTACTAGTCGAACAAAATATGTCAGAGACACCGCTCGCCAGCCTCCTTGCAGTATAAAAAATACCTCCGATTATTTAAACTGATGGACAAAGTGATAGACAAAGAAGACATATGAAGTATGGAGCGATCCTATTGGTTGAAACGGGTCGTTCTTATAGACTAGAGGGGAAAGTGATTGACTAACCGTGGGGGTCTCTTACCGGGTTCTGATTGTACGAGTAATTACTGTACGAGTAGTACTATTATAGTAGTAATTAGTATTGCACGAGTAGTTACTACTATTTACCTCCTTTGTTCGTTGCAACCGCACCCGCTTCCACCGATAGGATCGCCTCATTTTCCCTCTGTCTTTAATTTCCTTAGTTTTCGCCTAATGGTGACTGGTGACTAAAGAGTTGAGCAATGGACCAATAGACAAGGCACGATTTAAGCATTCTGATACATACATATATTCCATGCTCAAAATTTCACTTAGAAAACGAATTGCGCAAAGCGCAACGCAAATTGCTTAATTCAACTCCCAACCAAGTGTTACCGTTTTTATGTAGCATTGCTTTCAAACAATTTGAATTTCCCGCTCAAAAGAAAAACATGAGTCTACTCGAGGCAAATCGCGCTTTACGGCGGTTTTAGCAAGCTTCTAAATGGAGCAGTGTTCCTTGTAACAACGTGTAAAAGCTGAGCCGAATCGCCGCGGAATTGAGATTTTCATATAATCATACTGCAACGACTGTTACGGTGATGTATAATGTCTTATTTGACTCAAGTGGACTATCGTTTTTTCTATAAGAGAGAAGTTCGAATTTATGCATCGAAAAACGTTCATGTCTTTTCCAGGTATTATTTTCTATAATTTTTGTTGTACTAATCGTGATCTACACGGAATTTTCCGGAGGAAAAACACATATATGCTTAATTTCGCGCCTTAAGTGGATGGTATGAACGGGGTTTCACCTAGGTACTAGATACTAGTTTCACTTGATTCATGACTTGAGCATGACTGATGCTACCGCGCGCAAATCGTGAGGAAGCACCACATCGTTGGTTTTCATCGACGGAAGAAAAATGTGAATATAAACACGCCGGTTGATACCATAGAGAAAAAAAAGAGGTGTTTGCATTTCGGACATCTTGGAATTTTTTGATGACTTGATGACGTAGGTGGGTACAGCGACGTTTAGCTAAATATGAAAAACGGTCCGATTTTTTTACTTAAACCAACTCATTATATAATTTCAAGCACTTTTTATACAATGACTTTTTTCCTTAAATTACACCATTTCCAAGGAAATCGACAGGATAAAAACGTCGCCTGTACCCACCTACGTCATCGAGTCATCAAAAAATTCCAAGATGCCCGAAATGCAAACACCTCCTTTTTTCTCTCTAGAGTCCCTTTATACTGAGAGTCAAGACAATGGACCAATAGATAAGGTACGAATTTCAGCATTCTGATACATGTTTCTTAACCAAAATTTTACGTAAAACACGATGCACACAACGAAAATTACCGAAATTATCTCCTTACGAAGATATTTAATGATTCTTAATGCGTGAATTCAAACCACCCGCTCAAGAAAACTCAATGCTCTACGTGATTCACATCGCGCGCTAAACATTATCATGACAGTCTCTGCGATATAAAAATCTGGCAACCTCAATCTTGACGCTTTGGCTCAGTTATAGCAAATTGCCAATAGTTTGAACAACACATGATGGGAGATGAACATTGCTCGATTGAGAAGCTTGCTGAAACCGTTGTAGTGGGCGATTTGACTCACGTAGAGTTTTGAGTTTCTTGTGAGCGGGCAGTTCAAATTCCTCGTGACCAATGTGAAATAAAAACGTTAATATCTTCGTTAGGAGTTGGTTTCCGTAATTTTCGTTGTGTGAATCGTTTTCTACGTGAAATTCTGGTTAAGAAACATGTATCAGATCGCTTAAATTCGTACCTTGTCTAGTGGTCCATTCGGCTCATGGATGTCACAAACGGGAATAAAGATTACAGGAATTGAACGTTTTTCGTAATCTTTGATCGGCCCATTCTCAAATGCCTTTCTCCGTTCCTCCTCTCATTCCGTTTGTTCCTTGCCGAACCCGTAATTCCCGGGTCCATTCCAGATTATAATCTTTGTAATTGGTGAAAATGTAATCTTTATTCCCGTTCGTGACACTGTGGAGGCCTAAAATACGGGAACCAATCAGAAATGGATTCAAATTGTCTTGACTCTCAGTATAAAGGGACTCTATTTTTCTCTATGGGTTGATACAATCCCGTTTCGTCACGCGCGGTTCAGTGGGTTGGCGTCGGCCATGTTGAAAATTGTGTAGCAATCTAGTGCGCAAGGGTTGCATGGAATGACTCCACTTACGAAATGTTCACCTCGCTAAGTGTGTCATAGTATCTATTTTGAAGCAAGAAGCTTAAAAACGCACAATTTTTACGGAGATTATGAAGATAGGAATGCATTTGGACGTATTTATGCTAAAAGGAACTGAGTGATTGAAAAGATGGGGTGTGCTCGCGGTGAGCTGGATAAGAAACAATGTAATAGTAAACATAGTTCCTTTTTAGATAAAAGAAAAGCGGGACTTGACATTAAATCAAAAGGAACTGAGCGCTAACTCGTGAGCCGTGGACATGTGACAACGGCGTTGTGGACAGGGCTCATGAGTTAAAGCGCCCCGATGGTGAGCTCGGCGAACCCGGTCGTTACCGATGACGTCACTGGCGCTTTGTAATTCCCGTTCATTCTTATGGCCCTCAACTTACGAGCACACCTCATATTTTTACTTGCACATAGTTCCATTCAGCATAATACGTCCATTTCAGAGTTTCTCGGTGCACTAATCGTGATTTTTGAGTCATTTTCTTAAAAAATAACTCTTATTGCTCCAACTGAAGTTTGCAACAAGTCTTGTAGAGGGCAATAAGGGATGTACATACTCCTTTTTTGGGCGTGGCGGGCCGGTTCCCAGAACCTTCTTCCCCATTCGTCATGGACTCCGCATCACTTTCGTATGGCATTTTCATGGATGAAAACCACTTCATGACCTGAGGACTGAAAAATGTATAAGATTAGTAAATAGAACGCTTAAGTAGGTCAAAATAGAGTCCCTTTATACTGAGAGTCAAGACAATGTGAATCCATCTCTGATTGGTTCCCGTATTTTAGGCCTTCACAGTATCACAAACGGGAATAAAGATTACATTTTCACCGATTGCAAAGATTATAATCTGGAATGAACCAGGGAATTATGGGTTCGGCAAGGAACAAACGGAATGAGAGAAGGAACGGAGAAAGGAATTTAAGAATGGGCCGATCAAAGATTACAAAGAACGTTCAATTTCTGTAATCTTTATTCCCGTTTGTGACTCCATGAGGGGTGTTGTCTTGACTCTCAGTATAAAGGGACTCAAGGTCAAAATAGGTGGGTGCAAAAAGATTGCAAAGAGCATTTTCAGGAACACCGAGAAGGGAAACATCTAGTGCAGCCAACACTTCAGCGGCGAGGCGTGAATGAGCGATTATCGATATTTCGCCATTTGAAGCCATGGTAAAGAATCGATAATTAAAGTGTTCGTTGGGAACAACCTGTATATCGATCCTTTTCTATAGGTTATAATGGCTGATCGATTTATCGCAAAGCACGCCATGCCACTGCAACACTTGTTATCATATTCCTATCTCCAGAGAGCGAAAACCCCACACCGTTAAGATTGTGATTTCGGGAGGTTTAAGGAAATCCTTAAAATTGCATACTAAAATAGACACTGGACCACTACTAGACAAGGTACGAATTTAAGGACTCTGATACATGTTTTTCAACCAGAATTTCAAGTAGAACACAATGTTTGCATCAAAAATTACTGAAGTTAACTCCTATATTAAGATATTAACGTTTTAATTTTACATTGTTTACAGGACATTTGAATGGACCACTAGACAAGGTACGAATTTCAGCATTCTGATACATGTTTCTCAACCAAAATTTCACGTAGAACACTATATGCACAACGAAAATTACCAAAATCAACTCCTGACGAAGATATTTAATGCTTCTTGATGCGTGAATTCAAACCACCCGCTCATGAAAACTCAATGCTCTGCGTGATTCACATCGTGCGCTAAACGTTATCATGACAATCTCTGCGATATAAAGTTCGGCAACCTCAATCTTGACGCTTTGGCTCAGCTATAGCAGATTACCAATAGTTTGAACAACACATGGTGGAAAATGAACATTGCTCGATTGAGAAGATTGCTGAAACCGTTGTAGTGCGCGATTTGACTCACGTAGAGCTTTGAGTTTCTTGTGAGCGGGCAGTTCAAATTCCTCGTAATCGGTGCGAAATAAAAACGTTAATATCTTCGTTAGAAGTTGATTTCGGTAATTTTCGTAGTGTGAATCGTGTTCTACGTGAAATTCTGGTTAAGAAACATGTATCAGATTGCTTAAATTCGTACCTTGTCTAGTGGTCCATTGCCCGGTTACACGAAACTCAATACTCTACGTGAGTCAAATCGCGCATTATAACGGCTTCGGCAGACTTTTCAATCGGGCACTATTCCTTCCCCGACCTTCATCGTTCAAAGGGTAAACAATTTGCTACAGCTGAGCTAAAGCGTCAAAATTGAGGCTACTATAATTTTATATTGCATGGGCCACGGTAACGTTTAGTGTGCGATTTGACTCACGCAGACCATAGCGTTTTCGTGAGCGGGAGGTTTGAATTCACGCGTCAAGAAATATTAAATATCTTGCTAAAAGTTAATTTCAGTAATTTTCGTTGCGCGAATTGCGTTTTACGTGAAATTTTGGCTTAGAAACATGTATCAGAATGCTTAATTTTGTACCTCGTCTAATGGTCTATTTTTACAAATCTCGAGTAAAATTCAACGGAATAAAGTCGCTCTATAACGCACTTTGGCGTTCTACGACACCCAAACGCCACATATGCCTGTCTTCCCAGAGGTTCTCGGGCAACTGACACCGCAACATCTCTTCGTCAACGCCCTGCCGCCAACCATTTACGGGACGTCCCCGTCGCCTCTTCCCAGGTGGTACCCAATCCAAAACTTGTTTGGGCAACCTCTCCTCCGACATTCTTTGCACATGTCCATACCAGCATAACTGCCTGGACATGACGTCGTGCACGATATCTTTCTCAACCTTCATCACCTGGCGAATTCTCTCATTACGGACACGGTCCCGTCTCGAAATGCCGGCAGATCGCCGCCAAAAATCCATTTCAGTTGCCCTCAACATTTCTTGCGTTCTTTTCGTCATAGGCCACACTTCACTACCATAGAGCACGATACTTTTAACGATGGCGTCATATATCCGGTGCTTGTTTGCCTTTGAGATGCTCTGATCCCAGAGCACCCCGTTCAGCATCGCGATGGCTCTCCTGCCCTGGATGATCCTGTCCTTAATTGCTCTATCCATCCTTCCATCCTGATGGAGCCAAACACCGAGATACTTATACTCGTCACACTCTTCGATGCGCCGTCCATCCTCAAGCTCTATGCTTTGCCGTTGATGCGCTGCTCCCACGACCAGCTTTTCTGTCTTGGACACACTAACGTCCATGCCCCATTTCCGATATTCTTCGACCAACTTCCGCGTCATGTAATCTGCATCTTCCTCATCTTGAGCTACAACGATCTGGTCATCGGCAAAGCATAGAGTATAAAGGGTCTGCCCATCAAGGAGTGGAACGCCCATTCCCGCAACCTTAATTTTCCATTCCTTTAACACGTGCTCTAGGTATACCTTAAATAGTGTTGGTGACAAACAACAGCCTTGTTTTAGCCCTTTTGTGACGAAAAAACCTCCGGACAACTTCAACGGAAATTAAACGGAATACCTTTCAACCTAAATTCAACGGAATACCTTTGGAAATAGACTCTTTCGAGCGATTACAATGATTTGTCACTAAAGGAAGTGAAAATTCGAGAGAAAGATTTTGCTGCCTCTGAAAATTTGAAGGTCACCTATAGTAAAATGTTCATGACAAACAAAATTTCTCTTCATGATTTACCATTTTGTGGGAGGCAAATCATCGTGCTCGTTTGAAAGAGTCTATTTCCAAAGTAATTTTGTTGAATTTTACAAAAGATTCATGAAAATTGTTCTTTTTATAATACTATGTCAAGGCACATCTTGAAATTTACATAGGTAACCATCATTTAAAAGAAAAGATATGGTGCCTCCTATAGAAATGAACGCAATTTTTTGTTTTAACCTATTTGTACATCCATCTTTTAGAGTCAAATACGACCAATTTTGAGCGTTTGGTGGCGTGTTCACCACGCTGCAGCACAGTAAAGGCAACAAATTTGAAAGAAAAATTCAGGTACTCCGGAAATCATTAAATTTGACACGGAACCACCTTAATATTTACGAAACACACAGTATAATTTCCTTCAATGCATTTTCCCCTCATCAATTTAAACGAAGATAATGCACGCAGAGTGTGCAACCATCTCAAAATCAAGAGATGAAAAACGCGGACCCTGCAAGTATTAGAGCCAAACACAGAGCGGAGCGGTGCGGCGTGCTGCCAGCGCGAAACGCGCACTGACACTTACAGACCCACAGGGATACTTCCCGCATTGCGCAATGCTTGAAGTATCCACTTAGGTTTGTAGGCGCCAATGCAAGTTTCGTGCTGGCCGGCCGGCCGCCGCAGTGTGCCACGGCTCCTCAAGCATCTAATCCAGAACAGCAGTGTTGCACAGTATTATACGAAATTGAAGGCGCTTCAACGTATTAAGAATGACAGTCATCCTTTAATAGTACGGAGCTTTCCTCTCAAAATTAATCAAAATTCTACGGCACAAAAAGAGAGCGGTGGTCCAAAAACTCATTAAGTCCTAGCATCTGTATTTAATAACGTTTAACATAATTTCATGTTGAGCAGGGATTGAATGGAACGACTCATCTGACGAAATGTTCATTTGTGCCATAGTATCCTTTGTGAAGCGAGAAACTTGAAAACCCACAAATTCCTTACGCAGACTGTGAAGTCAGGGGTGCATTTTAGAGTTTGCCGATGCGCTCATCGTGAGTTTGGAGACATTTTCCAGAGGGAACAACTCTTTTTTGGACGTATTTCTGTCAAACGGAACTATGTGCATTAAGACATGGGCCCTAAGGTCCATAAGAATATATGCATAACAGGGTTCACGTCATAATACACATAGTTCCGTTTGGCGGAAATACGTCCGTTTTTGCTGTAGCAAAAGTTTGCAACAGGCCCATTATCAAAGTAAACACAACCGATATCCTGCAATTTTCTAGTCAAAAAATGACCAGAATTACTTCTTTGTCTTACATGATTTTCAAAAACCACTTTCTAGCGATAAGCGATTTATGCAGCAGCTCGCCCTTACTGATGACGCTCCGTTAAAGTTTGGAACGGTGCGGAGAAGAGGTGGGTTTAGAAAGTCTCACTTTCCTACAGTTCTAATTAGCCAAAAAAAAAAAAAAAAATTACAGCGCGTTAAAAATCCAAAAATAGTGACTTTTCAACGCTTTTCCCAGATTTTCTTTGTCTATCTCAGTCTAGTAGACATCCAACCGGTAAGCATATTTTCTGGACGACCCTCGTATGAAATGTGACATCATCTGAAAGTGGCCATCTGCTGGAAACGGCGCACGGTGGATCAAGTTAATAAGAGAGGTCGGACAAGATTCGGAAGCTGCAAACGTTTTTAACTCCGTTTACACAAAACCTAGAGGTTCTAAAAGTGGTTCCAGTAGTTTCCTCGTGAAATTTTTTGCTAAGAGCCCCCTGCCCCCCTTGAAATTTTAAATGTGAAGCGATAAACATCATAATGGACCACTAGATAAGGTACGAATTTCAGCATTCTGATGCATGTTTCTAAACCAAAATTTCACGTAAAACACGATGTACACAACGAAAATTACCGAAATTAACTCCTTGCGAAGATATTTAATGATTCTTGATGCGTGAATTCAAACCACCCGCTCATAAAAACTCAATGTCCTACGTGATTCACATCGCGCGCTAAACGTTATCATAAACGTCTCAGCGATATAAAAATCTGGCAACCTCGATCTTGACGCTTTGGCTCAGCTATAGCAAATTGCTTATAGTTTGAACAACAAATGGTGGGAAATGAACATTGCTCGATTGAGAAGATTGCTGAAACCGTTGTAGTGCGCGATTTGACTTACGTAGAGCTTTGAGTTCCTTGTGAGCGGGCAGTTCGAATTCCTCGTAGCCAATGTGGAATAAAAACGTTACTGTCTTCGTTAGGAGTTGGTTTAAGTAATTTTCGTTGTGCGAACCGTGCTCTACGTGAAATTCTGACTAGAAAGCATGTATTAGAATACTTAAATTCGTACCTTGTCTAGTGGCCCATTTGCGGTTTTAGTCAAAAATTTCATGTCCGACCTATCTAATTGACTCGATCCACTGTGGGGCGGTGGCTGAAGTCCCAAAGGGGGGCAACCCTAGACAAATTAGAAATAGATACTCGTAGGTAGATTGAAATCGATGTTTATACAAAAATACCCTTTTGTTGAAATTGATCTTTTGATGCTCTGTCCAATATTTGCTATATATCCAGTGGCAGATCCAGCATTTGATGCTCCTGACGTAAGTTTTGTCATCATTCTCGGGTGGAGTAATCTAGTTTCCTGTGCTGAAGTGAGGCCTTCGTCCTCAAACAAGGATAACACTTTCATCCCGAAACCCCATTCTTCCAAGCTGTCCTTTTTGCCTCCCTGTGGTCATAGAAACATCCTTACTCAATGTTAGATAGTATGTGTTGGGAAAATGCGCTAAGCAGAAAAGAACCAAGCCACATTGGCTATTACCAGATTTAATTGTTCATTTTAAATTTTTACCTGAAAACGGTTGTGCGGATTTGTGCACAAATTTCAATGAATTTTCTGCAGAGTATGAAGCAAATTATTTAAAAATTTCAAGAGGATCTGTACACACTTTCCCTTGTAAAAAATTAAATTTCTCAATCAAATTTGGCAACAGCTAATGTGGCTTGGTTCCTTGCTACTATTTCGGGTTTACCCAAAAATAACGCTTATATGTATAGGGGAACAAATGGCACACACGTTGTTTCTGTAATGAGCTAGAAACATTAATACCTTTATTGCAAAATGTATGTGATATGTAATTGAGTATAAATTGAATTCCGCGTAAGATTGGGTAATCATCATGATCCGATTTAACTGTTGCCATCAAAGTGGTAGCTCACTACTAACCATTAGTATTTTTCTAAAGTGCGTTTATCGTATATACTTACAATTCGAATATATTTTATAATTGTTGGATATAAAAAACTTGAAAACCAGGCTGGGTAAACAGAAAAGACGTCAGAATCGATTGACAGGATTTGAGTGAAAGGAGTTTCTTGTGAACTAATTAAAATTAGTCTAAATTTTGCAGCTAGGAACCACTAAATTTGGTGCATTTCAGAGACAAAATACGTGTAATCTGTCTCCCCATGCAGTTAGGTGTTGTCTTCGATAAACCAGAAACAGTAGCTTTTTGATGCAATATGCAGTCCAATTCTATCCTGTACAATTACACCTTGTACAGTTGGATTAAATTTTACAATTAGTAGTTACTATTTCTGGCTCATTTTAGAAAAAATATAACGCTAAAAGGTCCATAAAGGGGTTTCCGACTAGATGCAAGACAAGATACTTTATAAAAGTTCGAAAGGCGAAGGATTCTGCACGGCAATTTTTGATATAAATATTTTAACTCTGGTGTGAGCGGTGAAGTATCGCGCAAAACTGAAGGCGTTTTCGACCGGTGACAACAGTTTGACGAAACTGATAACACAACAATACGTAACGCAAATGCGCAATTGGTTACTCGAAAAAGATGCGTTATTTTATGGGTGTATTGTATACATGTTCGCGACTAATTTACAGTTTCTATGCTACCACAAAGTTCTTTTAATAGCTGACGGGACTTTTCTTTTGGCGTTGCCACAAAGCATAATTAAACATGTTTTGTTCTAAGTTTTCATTCCCTGGCGCATTTGCGCTTTTGTGGTGATGCCGTAATCACTCGCTGAATTTAGCAGCTGAATGTGGAAGTCAACAGTCATCGCCCAACGGCTGAAATTTAGCAAATTCGAGTTATTTTCATCCAGATGTGTATCAAATCTACTCGAATAGTCCAAACAAATTCAAAATTGGTCCGATGGTTGCTGAGAATCGTTGCTGAATTTTGCGCGTCACGCGCACAATTCAGGCATCGGGCCGATGACTTCCACATTCAAGCCACATTCAGCGTGTGATTGCGGCATGAGTCTCGGCACACACCTTTCGCGTAAGTGTCGTAGGTGCTATCCTCTGAATGCCTTCGTGGTCGCGTTTTGGACACACACCAAACACTTACCTATTCAGGTTAGAAATTGGCAGAAGAGGGAGGCACTTTCCTTGACAGCACTGTTTTCGCTGACTTTCAGGAACAATAATGTCACTTGCGACTGTTTTGCGTGAAACTACGTCATTTGTTGCGCGCTTGCGGCTTTCTCATTTGTCTCGTTTTTATACAATTAAGATGAATTTTGCTGTTTTAGCTATTTCAGTGATTTCATATGAAAGAGATTGGACGAACTTTGAAGGAAACTGGATTTCGAAAATTTGACACATACTGCCCCCTTCGCTATTATGGCAGAACTGACCTTTCCCAATAAAATTAAAGATGTTACCTGTGCGGTGGTCGATGGATGATTTGTTATGGCTGTATCTTCCAGAAAAGAGGGCGGGACCGGAAGACGGAATATCTCTCGCGCATCCACCGTAATCCCGATGATATGAGCAATCACACACTGTAACAGCAAAGTACAACATATTAAAGTCCGAACGGGCGAAAACGGATCCGTTGTATGTAAGATATTCGGCCAAGTTAATAGACGGCCTTAGGAGAGGCGGACTCAAGAAATGCTCAAGGCGACAGAGATGGATTCCTGGCGAAGATCGGCTGGAATCTTGAGGAGAGAACGTATCAGGAATGAACGTGTCCGAGAGATAATGGGCGTTGAGAGGACAATGGAGATGTTGCATGTGTGAGGGATTTGGGATTTGACCATTGATTCTTATGTAAAAGTTCCCGAGAAACACGATGGTGCCTCTGGTTTTCTCTGAAATCATCTCCCAAGCTCAAAAAAAGCCCTCAAGTTGAGGCCAAAATGGAGGGGATATCCCACCCTACCCTGAGAGTCCACCTCTACATCAAAACAAACTCTCCATGCAAAGATAGGGAGGAAATACATTGTCAGGGTTGCCGTGTTTTCAGTTTTAGAGTCCCCAAATAAAGTGGCAGCCCTGACAATGTATTTCTTCCCTATCTTTGCATGTAGAGTTTGTTTTGATGTAGAGATGGACTCTCAGGGTAGGGTGGGATATCCCTTCCATTTTGGCCTCAACTTGAGGGCTTTTTTTGAGCTTGGGAGATGATTTCAGAGAAAACCAGTGGCACCATCGTGTTTCTCGCGAACTTTTACATAAGAATCAATGGTCAAATCCCAAATCCCTCACACATGCAACATCTCCATTGTGCACGGTATCATGACGAAGCAATTGGTATGGTATGGGCATGTGCAGAGAATGGCTGATACCAGGTTGCCGAAGAAGGTGTTGGAGAATGGGTCCCCCCAGGAGGGCGTCCAGCCAAACGGTGGGTAAAGGGCATCCGTGATGAGATGGAGAGATGCCAGCTTCCTCTCTACCATGATAGATTCCTGTGGCGGGTAGGCGTCGCAGAGTGCCCTAGCGCGCCATAAAAGCGGCTTAAACATACATAAATAGACGCCCTTAAGATAAAATCACACGAAAATGGGTCAGTTGGTCGAGGGTCGTCTCTAAATTACGTAACGCTCCGACCGGGGGGGAGGGGGGTGGGTCCCTCTTTGTCAGCGTTACGTGACATTACGAAAATACAGATCGAAACCTTACTTAACGAGTTTAAGTGATTTGTTTTCGAGTTTTTGTAGAAGGCTGCGATAGGATCGCGCGAATGCCCCTTTTTTTACTTTTTTGGACGCGCATTGGATTGCGCGAATTTTTCTGATGTTGAAAACTCACATATTTGCGCGAATATTCAACGAGGAAGCGCTAATCTTGCAACTTCGGTAGTTTGTGATAGGCAACGATATCGCGGAAGACTGTTCATTCCCTCCTCTCTTACGAGCATGTGTCTCTTAAATGGACAACCCTAGCAACACGAATTACCCAGAGAGCTTTCATAGACATTTAAAAAATGAACTAGGAGCATGTGGCCGCTGCGCGGCCGCCAAACACTGGAAAAGACTACACGTAAAAAATCGCAAAACAACCATGTCCAAGTTTTTTAAGAGAAGAATGGATTCAAAACCCGACGAGTGCACCCGAAAGAAAGCGTACACTTATCTCTGATTGCAACGTTATGCACCACTTTTATGTTTTATTCCTAATAAATGTTTTTAAAAGCCACACGCAGTCTTTCTGAAAAGTTTTCGCGAATTCGCCTAAATGATTTCAAATAAAAGTTTCGAAAATTTCGACGCGATATTCAATTTATTTTCTTTTAACGTAACCATAAAATAATTAAATATCGTCCTAGTTTCTGAATCGTTACATTGAGGATACATATTTTCCCCATAATTATGGTACAAATTGGAGCAGAAAGTCAGGAATGATGACACGCAGTCCCATAGCATTCCTACAGTCTTGTTGGGGCTAATGTTCGTTGCACATTAACTGACCATCTGCACTGCGTTTGGCGCAATGCGAGAAGTAATCATGCAGTCTTGTAGGCGCTAATATGGGCTTCATGCCAATCGCTCTGTTTGGCGCAATGCGTGAAGTATTCCTAAAGTCTTGCAGGCGCTAATATAAGTTTAACGTGCGCTTGCCACTCTGTGTTTGGCGCGATTATTCGATCTCGCAATAGAATAATAGCGGCATCGAAGAATAGAGCTTAAAAGGCCCATGTTGTGTGTTTAGGCATCTAAAACGTCTGAAAATTTCAAGGAAAAATACGCATACTTTTCTTCAAAAATACATGTTTTAGCCGGGGCAATTTGGCAACTCGCGAATGTTCATACGGCGTTTTTCCGTAGCACGTCAGAATAGCGCAGTAGTTTCCTTTTTAAAATGCACATTACGATCGGGAATTTTAAAACGTCGAAATTTATTCACATTTTTCTGGTCGGAAAAGTACGAAATGTGTAATGCGTGTAAAAAAAAAAAAAAAAAAAATCCGTGCGCTCTCTTTTTCAAGGACCGAAAAAGGTTTCGCCAGCACGCATTTAATGTAACAGATGATTGACAGATGGCGTTTGCGTCACTCCCCAAAAAGCTTCCAGGAAGGGAAATTGGGGGATCGCGATACACATTTCTTACAATAAGAACAGGAAACCGCCATCCCGCAGAATAACAAGTATGAAAAATGGTCGAAAATAGAGCACCTGTTTATCGTGCTCACAATGAAGTTCAAACATGGTTCACCAGAAAAGCTCTCTAATGTGTATTTTCTCCATTCGAAAAGGCCGTAACATCTAATGGGTCTGTTGCGCGCAAGAGTTGAAGCAAAATAAATCTACTCTTTACGAGTAAAATCGCGGGAAAATCACACTCGATCGGTACGTCAACAAAATCTGAAAGCCATTCCCTAGCACGCAATCTGCGTGGATTGTAACATGCTTTCTCAAGTTACCCGCGTCTGCGCGCACTTTCCCCGGTAAAATATCACCTTTTTATAAACATGAACAAATCCTTGAAAACTTTGAGTGCCGCCTACACGCATCGTCAATGCTCCGATGGTATCGCCGGAAAAATTGAAGAATGCGGGCTCAGCCGCTGCTCAAATTTCGCAATGCTACAGGGAATTTATCAATTAAAAGAGCTAACATGAAAAATCGACCCACCTTGCTAAATTTTTTGTTTTACTTTATATTTTTTGGCAAAAATGGATCCATTACCTAAGAGCCCACAGGTACATTTCACTTGTTGAATTTCAAAAAAATTCTTTTGAAACTCTTAAATTGAAGCTGAAAGTATCGGAACGCAAAATATTGCATTCGAGTCCAACGGCGAAAAATCGCGTTTGGATACTTTCAACTTTTTTTTATGGTTTACATGCTTTTTTGGGGGGGAGGGGGGAGTCGTAATACCTATAATACGCCCATAAGAATAGTGGATCCATTCCTTTCCCCAAAAATTGGAATCAAAATTAGTACCTTTGCAATATTTTTCCATGTCTCAATGATTGTTTACTTCCACTGTAGATTCGCCGAAAAGTGTTGTTAAAATTCTCCCTCCCTCCATTTCCCCTTCCCTCCCTTAACTTGATCTATTTTTTCAAAATGATGGGGAATTCGGAATTTGAAACAAGGTTTGATTGATTCAGGATTCACTATACGCCACGATATGTGCCAAGGCGTGGTATGTTTTTAGAATTGTAATGTAAGCAAGATGTGTCAGTTTAATGTACGTTAGATTGCGTTTTTTGCCGAGGTGTCTTTTATTATAATGGAATATAAGACAAATTGCGAATTGAAGCATTCTGATATATGTATATACCCTCTTCAAAAGTCCACGTATTATAGAACACGATTTGTGCATAGAAAATTACTAAAATCCACTGCTAACTAGGATTTCAGCGTTTTTCGTTTACATTAGCTGCGAAAATTTTACATTCCCCGCCCACAAGAAAAACAATAGTCTACTTGAATCAAATGGCGCATTGCAAGGGTCTTGGTAAGCTTCTCAATCGAGCCGTGTTTCTTCGTCGCCCTGTGTTGTTCAATGCAACAGCGTGTAACAGCTGAGCCGAAGCGACGACATTGCCATATTTTCATATCGCAAAGGCTGTTACGGTACAGTGCGTGATTTGACTCTCGTACACTTTTGTTTTTTTCATGAACAGGAGGTTTGGATTTATGGATCGAAAAGCGTTGAATATCCTAGCTATGAATTAAATTCAGTAATTTTTGTGTTGAACAATTTTTGTGTTGCATAATTTTTGTGTTGAATAATTTCTGTGTCGAATAATTTTTGTGTTGAATGTGTTGAAAAATTTTTTGTGTCGAATCGTAATTCACGTGAATTATCGATAGGGAAGCATATATCAGAATTCTCAAATTAGAAACTTTTCTGGTCGGCAGTCCACTAAAAATCGATTACAGAGTAATTTTTTGTGACTTGCAATGATTTTTTAGTTTATTACTTAGTTAAAGACGCTAGCGTTCAATCGTGGTATCTCTTTTTACTCGTTTTCAGGAACGGTGCACTGAAAAAAAAAATATTGGTAGAATTTACGATTCACGCTGTGAATACAGCGTGAAGGAATGGTAAATTCTACCAATCTTCAAGTCGATTCTGCCAGAAGAATGGTTTACCTGTACCAGTATATAGTAGCGTTTACCTTTCTTCTGGCAGAATTGACTCTGAATTGACGCTGTGTGAAATACAGTGCGAAGGAATGGTAAATTCTACCAATATTTTTTTTTTCAAAGTGGTATTTGGGTCTACATGTAAACTCACGGGTGCGAAAAAGAAAAATATGTTACCAGAGAAATGCAGCGCACACATGTTAACAACATTGTTTGAGCCTAATCACTACCGACGTCTCTAGCGGAAACAACTATATATAAATTGAGAGTACCTACTTGCCATGCGCTAATGTATTCTAAAAAAAAAAAGGATAACAAAAAAGGAATTTTAAAGCGTAGCAGCACTCTTTTGAAGCACCGTGTGAAGCTAAAGTTCATCATGATGGAAAATTTCCAAATGATTGCTAGGGGTATTTTGCTGGAATTTTTGAACTTTGCAAATCCTCTGAGAGGGTTTGATCAAAACAGCGGCGTAAAAGGCCCCCCCCCCTCACCACGATCGCTCGAAAAAAAGGGGTTGAAAAAGGGAAGACAGAAAAAAGGAAGAGAGCTTACTTTTGGACGTAATTCGACCAAACGGAACTTTGTGCATGATGACGTGAGCCCTGTCATGCACATTTTCTTATGGGTCTCAAGGCTCATGTCCAAATGCACAAAGTTCCGTTTGACAGAAATTTGTCCATTTGGTAATATTGTAACCTAACCTAATTTTGGGGAGTTTTACCCTCTATTTACACGTGAGCTCTGGAGGGGTTTTCTCGTTTACTGTCTCGTTACTCCGTTGAGTGCTTTTCGAATACCTACATAGTCGCCCACTCGCAGCGGCATTATCTGCACACAAGCTGCAGAGCTTAGATGGTTATGTCAAGAGCAAGTCGAAGTGAAGGTGTTTCATAGCATGCTTCTTTTTCCACTGTATATACAGCGGTGGATATACTTTGTATACTGCAATACTGCATATACTGTACTAGGGGGCTATGCCCCCTGGCCGCTACGTGGCCCAACCCCCAGAAGACGCTTAGCGTTCTCTTAGGCCCGCGACCCCGCGTTGACAGTAGAACGACCAAAAAAAAAAAAAAAAAATGAAAAGATTTTCATAACAGACTCGCATTTATCCAATATTTCTCTGGCCGGGAGCAATTCGACCAATAAGAATCGAATGAAAATATCGGCATTTGCTTCAAACTTCACGCCAAGACTGAAACGAAACGGAACGGCGCGTTTCGTCGCTTTTGGATAGCGTGTAGCAAAGGAGCATACCTTCGATTCATTTACCCCACTCACCGACCAAGATTCAAAATTCCCCGCTTACTTCAATTTTCCGCTAAATTTGAAATTCCCGCCAATGGACAATGGTGGGAATTTCAAATTTTGCCCCCCTTTCTAAGCTTTCTGGTCTTCTCTAATATAAAAAAGCCTGGGATCTATTTTCAAATTCTGATTACAGCGGGCTCATCTTATCTAGAGACTATCACCTGTGGAACACCGCAAAAATTATGGAAATCAGCCCAGTAGAACGCTCAAAGGAACTATGACAAAATATAAAAAAAATATGTTTAAATGGGAGACTTTGCAACTTTACCACGTAATATGAAAAAAATTGGGTCATATTTTCAAAATCTAAATAAAGCGGGCTCGTCTAGAGACAATTGCCTGTCGATAGCCGCAAAAATCATGAAAATCGGCCCGGCAGAACACTGGAACTAAGCGTTACCAGGTACGCAAATTTAGGAGGTCTCGGAGCTTATATAAATGATAGTGGTGTGGTATCGATATTCTTGAGAAAATTTAAATATTCCACGGTGGGATGCAGCCTTTTTAAAGTTTGAAATAGCACGTCAGCTTTTGGGTAAATGACTAGACGGCTCTATTTCCCTCTTGTGGGTTTCTCTATTAAATATAATTAATTTTGAGGGAAAGACTTGAGTTTTTTTGCGATTGGGAAAATAGAATTGTTTCTTCTTCTTTTTTTGACTTAGACATACGCCTTGTTCAGCTACGACCATACCAGGCACGTAAAATGGACGTATGTATGCTGAAACAAATATGTTGCACATAAACCCTATGCACCTTTTAGCATAGTTCTTTTTAGCCTAACTACGTCTAAATGGTGATTAAAATTTATAAAACCTATCATTATCCTAGCGGATTTCATTTGCTCACTTGTTACCTTCCCTTCATTTTTCAATACACTGTTTGTTAGACGACTAATTGGAAGCAATAATGGTCAAAAACCGCGAAATATTCCACTTTTTGGTCTTTTGCCAAAGTTTCGCACCCTGCAGTACATTTAATTTTGCTTTGAGCAAAAAATCTATTAAACGATTTCATAGAATTTTAACGATATTAATTTTAAATATAACTAATTTTGTCGTAGGATTAACTCTTCGCGAATTACAGGTCATAATTCACCAACAAATTCAATTGAAGACACCGCACCAAGAACAGCCTATAACTGGAGGCTATTTCAATAATTGTAATCTTCCGTCACATTTCTAAGGTGCAATGATACAACTATTTGAACTCTCCGGAATGCGTGAGGTATCACGCCGCATTTGAAGGCGTTTTTAAAACAGCCAAGTTCCGATACCCGGATTATCGTTTTGCATAGTTCATATTCTTTTGTTATACTCCGTACCACTTGTTTACTTTTAATCCTCGTATAAAAACCACCCATTTGCTAAATACAATTCTATCTGGAGCGCACTTCAGCTATGCATTCACCACTGCAAAAATGTCAAAGGAAATCGACAAGCCCAGCGTGTATGGAGTATGGAGGCTATTTCAATAATTGTAAACTTCCGTCACATTCTTACGGCGCAATGATACAACTATTTGAACTCTCCGGAATGATTGAGGTATCACGCCGCATTTGAAGGCGTTTTCAAAACAGCCAAGTTTCGATAGCGGTTTATAGACCATTATTACGCCCAACAGCCATTTTGGTGGCAATATGAAGTATAAATCATTTTAATCACGCATGATTAACGCAAAATGAAAGAAGATCGATAGTGAGTAAAGGAAGGGGTAACTAGCGCCTTATAGGCCCGTTTATAGGTCGTTCTTGCACCCATCGATCCCGAGGCCTGACTTAACTCGGAAAAAAAAAGTTTTTTGACCTCGAGCCATTACCTATCTATATTCTATCGCTACCACAGCATAGTCCAGGGTACGTAGAATCCGAAAAGCAGATGGGCGTAATAACGACCTATACGCCTATTGGCTGTTCTTGGTGCGGTGTCCTCAATTTTAGGTCATTTTTGCCAAATTTGGCAACTTTCCGGTCCGATTTTTTTGGTGCAAAGTTGAAATTCGGTTTCAGCGTCAATAATTACTCACGGATTACTAAAAACATTGCCACCCGGCATTTTTGCAGGACACTAAAAGCGGAAAACGGTGCCCTTTACTACGAACGTCCAACCCTAAAATGTTTATCATTTACTCAGACCGTAACCAGGCAAATATGCAGCACATTACAAGTACTAATGTCTTGACGAACATAATGACATGCCCTAATCCTACTTTCCAATTTAAAATCCGTCAATTTTCAACCTCTTGAATGATTTTATTCTTGTGGACAATTAATATGTGAATATTTCATGGAAAATAGAGGACCTATAAAATTGAAAGCCCCACTCAGTGAAACCTAATTGTTGACCTATAGTCACAATCGCTGTAATAGTGAACGTATGAATTTTCAATTTACTTAAAGTTTTATTCGAAAAGGACCACTACACATTTTAACCATTTCATAAGAATAACTAAACTTATTAATTAATAAAATGTAAAAAGATGAAAACCCACTAAAAGGGAAAGATAAAAACATGAAGATAAAATATAGTTCGTAATAATTGATAGAACGATTTGAAATAAAAATAAAGAATTATTCAAAATCAAGATTAATGGGTTTAGTAATTAATAATACAAAATATTAAACAAATGAAATCTAGAGAAACCTCGTCAGTTCTCAAAATTTTTTGAACAAGAAACTAACACTTTTAATTAGGCACAAAATTGTTAATATAAAAAAAAAATAAAAAAAATAAAATTAACACAATTAAGCTATTAAAACTAATAGTCGAGATTATTAGGATAATTATAGTTAACACCGTATTTTTTAACTTATTTTCGGGTAAATTTTTTGGCACTTTATTTCGTGTCACTATGATTTTCAAACCGCAAATGACAGACACAGTGATTTTGAAATAGCAGGTAATATTATGTGATTTTGGTTCCCCCTTAAAACTAGCGAATTTTACGTAAATAAAAAAGATACAGTTGTCTTAAATATTATTTGAATCTCGAGTAATATCCCGCGCATTAGGGATAATAATTATAATTGGATACTTGTTACACAAATACAATGTTCTCGTTCTGTGATCGTGGTGTACTCGTCCTATAATTCAGTGTTTATCCTCCTAAGACCCGGAGATTTCATAATTTTTGTAGTGCTTCAGTCCCGAGTCAACCTCAACTTTCCGCATTTTTACTTTTCACACCGTCAAAACTCCCCAAAAAATTAATCACCCTTTTGCAGTGTCAAACAGAACTTTAGAGCTCACTTATAAGTCATTCGACGGTGTCAGTGTAGCCGACTAAAGTTAGAACTTGAAATGAGGAGTCGATTGTTCACCGGGTCTCTGGCATACTTCTATAATTCGTCGCTTGGCTGACGAAAGGGCGTAACTACACATTGAGATGAGCCCGGAAAAGCATTGAATTTTATGGAAGACAGGGTTCATTGCAGAGTGTAGTTACGCCCTTATGTCTAGTAGGCGACGAATGAATGGCGAGACGTCTTGCCGAGGGGACTTAAGAGGTTATACAACCGTTATCTTTCTTTTGAATTTTTGAAAAAATAAAAATCGAACTCCACGACTAGGGAGTCTAGGTACGGGACATTTTACTCAGTGTGCTATTAGGGTGTGGTTTCTTGAGCCGTTGCTAGATGAGAGGAAACCTCAGGGGTGGATCCACCACTTTGGCACCCCCGAATTTCCTCCGTTCAAACCCATGCTAAATAATCGATTCTCGTCGGAGCACCTGACCCCTGCAAGAATCGACACATTTCCATGGCAAGGTAGATTTACACAGGTATGGACAGAACTTAACAACTGGCCTCTGATTGGCTCTCCAGCGGCCCCTTAACGTCAGCCATTTTGAATGTTTTGATTATTTTGATTTATTATGTTCGGTTTATCGTTTGTCAAAATTTTGTGGGATTTTTTGCACAATTTTGATAATGCGGTATTAATTTTAACGTTCAAACGCACAAACGTTTGAATGTTAATTTGATTGTAATTTAATTAAAAAACGGTCCCCTTAACCTACGTCACGTAGTCATGTGACACGTACTGAGGATCATGGGAAATTTTCAACTTTTCCATACCTGTGTAAATCTACCTTGTTTCCATGGGTTTAAACGGAGGAAACCCGGTGTTGCCAAATTTCTGGATCCGCCAATGGGAAACCTCATCAATGACCAGTAAAGTGCGTTAGGCCGAGAATGAAATCAGCCCTTATTACGAGCAGCAGCCTGAATCGCCATTTGCGCCCTGACCCAGGCTGGTGGTTCGGCGCCTGGTTTGACGAACGTGACCGTGCATTTACCATCCTTGCATAATTCTTCCTGGAGTTGTTGCTGAGTAACGCTGGATGTGGGTGCGGCCGGTCCGCCTCCTGGACGCGTGGGAGATGCGGTCTTTGGAGTGGCTGGAGTTGGCGATGATGGTCGTGTCCGGGGCTGGATAAAACCACTAGTCGGATTAAATTTGGGTCCGGGGCTGAAGCAAAAAACGAAAACGGCTCCAATGGCGATGTTGCATGTGTGAGGAATTTGCGATTTGACCATTGATTCTTACGTAAAAGTTCGCGGAAAACACGAGGGTGCCACTGGTTGTCTCTGAAACCAACTCCCAAGCTCAAAAAGCTCCCAAGTTGAGGCCAAAATGGAGGGGATATCCCACGCTATCCTGAGAGTCCACCTCTACATCAAAACAAACTCTCCATGCGAAGATAGGGAGCAAATACATTGACAGGGCTGCCAACCTTGTTTAGGGAATCCAAAACTGAAAACACGGCAACCCTGTCAATGTATTTGCTCCCTATCTTCGCATGGGGAGTTTGTCTTGATGTAGAGGTGGACTCTCATCAGGTCAGCGTGGGATATCCCCTCCATTAAGGCCTCCGCCATTTTCAGCTTTTTTTGAGCTTGGGAGAGTTTGTCTTGATGTAGATGTGGACTATCAGGATAGGGTGGGATATCCCCTCCATTTTGGCCACAACTTGAGAGCTTTGTTTGAGCTTGGGAGTTGATTTCAGAGAAAAGCAGTGGCACCGTCGTGTTTCTCGCAATATTTTACATAAGCATCAGTAGTCAAAGTGCATCCTCGCAAATGCAACATCTCCATTAATGCGAATCTACACCGTTGTGATAGCGAAGATGAGAGCCGCAGCCCTCACATTTTCGAAATCGAGTTTCCTCTGAAGTTCGTGTAATCTAATTTTGACGAAATCACTGAAGCAGCTAGAACTAGAGTACTGTTGTGTTAGGGAAAGACGCCGTATGATCCCTCGGGCGCTGCCAAATTTCCGTAGGTAAATCACGAATTTTTGGGAAAATTTTTAAATATTTCACTTCCAATTTTTCAGATAATTTTGTTCGCAATTTTACCTAGAGTTCTTGAAAATTTGTCCGAAAAATATTCATAACTTTCCTCCAAAATCAACTTTTTATCGGAGGAAATTTGGCAGCTCTCGAATGTTCATACGGCGTTTTTCCTTAGCACGGCAGAGTACGAGTATTCAGTTGGAAAATACAATAAAAAGTAAAAAATGTCGATGAAAAAACCTGAAACCTACATGCCGGGACGGAGATCCGAGAAAAACAACCAGTGACTCAGTTTACACGGAGAAAAAGTTAGATAGCACTCGCCATACTCAGGTTAAAAAACGGCACAACCAGACAGTATTGTAACTTTCACCAAAATTATCGTCACAACAAGGAAAAATCTTGTCACTCCCACGATAATTTCGATGAAAATTACCATACTCTCTGGTTGCGCCGATCAGCAACCAGAATACGGTAAAGACTACCTATGTTTTTTCCGTGTTTGAGTCAAGACGTCTCGGGATATAAGTGTTGTATTTTTAGCCTTATTCCCCGTATTTTCCCATTTCCTTCGTGTTACTTTTATACAGAATGGTGTAAGGAAATTTTCCGGTAAATGCGCGTACGGGTTTTTGCGTAACGGTGCAATGGTACTCACTAGGAATCGCGGTTCACGAAGCCTCTTCCATCCTGGATCTTATTTATCGGGGTCTCCTGCCGGGAAGGCGTAAGATGTTCCCCAAAGTGTTCTTCCATAAACCGACGCCTTTTTTCTATTGCAGCAATTGCCTCCGACCCGAAGTATGATGGCCTTCTCGATGGGGGCTTTCTGGGTATTCCTTGAGTGGATTGCTCCTGTGGTTGCGGAAACTTTGGCGGCGAAGGTGGTCCCTCTTCCGTGAATGCCTTTTTCCTTGGAGAACTGGACCGCGAGTGCCTTGGTGACCTTGGTGGAGAAATAGATGGTTCCTCTTCCGTGGATGCCTCTTTCCTTGGAGAACTGGACCGCGAGTGCCTTGGTGACCTTGGTGGAGAAATAGATGGTTCCTCTTCCGTGGATGCCTCTTTTCTTGGAGAACTGGACCGCGAGTGCCTTGGTGACCTTGGTGGAGAAATAGATGGTTCCTCTTCCGTGAATGCCTCTTTCCTTAGAGAACTGGACCGCGAGTGCCTTGGTGACCTTGGTGGAGAAATAGATGGTTCCTCTTCCGTGAATGCCTCTTTCCTTGGAGAACTGGACCGCGAGTGCCTTGGTGACCTTGCTGGAGAAATAGTTGGTCCATCGTTTCCTGACGGTTGCCTCGTCTGAGATCCATGCTTTGTCCCTGGAGATCCGGACTCTCTGCCTTTGGGTGACCTTTTATCCATTGGAGATCCGGACTGCTCATGGACTGGTGGCTTATTTGCCCCTGGAGATTCGGACTTTCTGCCCTTGGGTGACCTTTTTTTCCTTGGAGATTCGGACTGCTCATGGACTGGTGACTGATCTGTCTTTGGAGATCCGGACTGCTCATGGACTGGTGGCTTATTTGTCCCTGGAGATTCGGACTTTCTGCCCTTGGGTGACCTTTTTCCCCTTGGAGATCCGGACTGCTCATGGACTGGTGACTGATCTGTCTTTGGAGATCTCGGCTTGCCATGGTTCGGCGACCGTCCTGGATCTGGTGAGTTTTGTCCAGGCATTCCTAGCGTTGGCGGAGGAAGTTCAAATGACGGCAAAGGTGACGGTGGTGCCGGTCGTGGCCCTGGTGATCGAACATTTGGGGACGCTCGCTGCGGCGAAGATGACTCGGCGTCATAGAACTGATCATCGTCATCAGAGTCATGGGCGGACCAATACTTCTCATCTTCAGATTGATACGCTTCTGTTTCTACCTTTACATCTTCTGCTTCGTCATCATGTGCTTTCCGTGCTCTGGAGAGAAAAATGGAAGGAGTTCAATGAATCGTAAAATCCGTGGTCCCTCCGATGGAAGAGCGTCCTCCCCATATCCCCAAGTACCAAAGTAGCGATAAATAGCGAATTTATCGCTTGGTTATCGCGATTATATAGGTGACAATATATCGAGATATCATCGTATTAAAACTCGCAATATATGACGATTAAATCGCTACACATCGCAATTTTTGGCTCGATAAAATCGAGATTAAATCGCCATTCGTAGCGATTTTTATTTCGAAAGTATCGCGATAAATTGCCGGGCGATGAAATCGCGATTTTATTCCGACAAGATCGAGGATAATCGCTCAGGTGTTGATAATCCTAGCGATCTTATCGCCGATAATGCTACTTGGGTAGCGTTTCTCAACGAAAAAATCGCTGTATATTGCGATTTTATCGGCCCTAAAATCGCCAGGATCATCAATGTCTGAGCGATTATCCCCGATCTTATCGCACTTTTATGACCCGACAATTTATCACGATAAATGGCGATTTCATCTCGATTTTAACGACGAATATTGATCAGGATTTTATCGAACCAAAAATTGCGATGTATAGCGATTTAATCGCCTTATATTGCGAGTTTTAATGCGATATGTCTCGATATATTGCCACCGATATAATTGCGATGAATGTCTTAAAATATACTAACTAACTAACTAACTAACCAACCGATAAAATCGCTATATATCACGATCACTGCTCTTAAGGTCAAGGTGGAAAAATTAATTCGGATAATTTTATACCTTACTCGATTACGACTGAGCGATTTCTGGCCAAATTTGTGCGAATTTTCGTGCAAAATCAGAGGAATAATCAGTTAAATGTCCTGTCAAAATTTGTCATTTCCCAGACGAAGGAACGTGGCTTGGTTCCAAGGTTCTTAAATTGGCTCAAATATGCAAGAATATATCTGTGCAATTCCTATCCAGAACTTTTCCGGTTTTTGGATGGAATTGAGGGAAAATCAGTGAAATTATCAGTCAGAAATGCCCAAGATTCTTCTGATAGAAATGAAATTTACCAAGGGAAATTTGGTAACATTGAAACTTTTTCACGTTATTTCGTGAGGAAAACCATGAAATACGCAACAACACCCGAGGGCAAATTAAATTCTCAAGTGAAAATATTGCAGCGTTGAAATACCGTCTCGTTCTATCGTCTGGGAATCGACGATTTGACCACCACACAAAGTTTCAGCTAGACGAACCGTCATGTGTTCTCTCTTTAAAAATCACACGAAGAATGGAAGGGTCAGAATCATACAGTTTTTCAGGGAAGGGGGAGGTGTCAGCATAGAGCACAGCGTTACGTACAATACGCTACGAATGTAGTAGTAGTAGTAAAATAATTTTATTTTAAAGCGGTGCTTTAGCATCTAAGGCCATTTACACCTCTAAAGAAGGCAGTAATAGTAATAAATTTACATGGAAATTAAGGTTACATCATTAAAAATACAAAAGGATTGAGGGGAAACTGCGTTAAAGAAAGAAAGAAAGAAAGAAAGAAAGAAGAAGACCTTGGTTGAAGGACGGAGGAGGTTAAAAGTATGATGATATACTGCATAAACTAACCCTTTTGCACGAGCGTCATTAGTCCGCGACTTTTGCTTTTGGTTTCGTGACACCCATCCGGGGTGTGGATTAACAGGAGACTGAAAAATTTAACAAAGTCATGATCACCATTTACCGATGTAAGATTCCCATTGAAACTTCCATGAGCGACGTGAACTCTCCTTCAGAGTTTATTAAACGGATTGCATTTTGCAAAAAGGAACCACTAGCATTGCAATGTTGCTGAGATTGTGCAACTTCTTTTGTCTTGGAGGAAAAACCCGATCATCCCTCAATAGTTTCTATTTTACTCGCTAAAAACTGTAAATTTAAGACAAAAATTACCATCTAAATTCCATAGTTTTTCATAATTTCCGCAATTTTATTGCAAAGGATGAAGTTGCACAATCTTAGCATCATTGCAATGCTAGTGGTTCCTTTTTGCAAAATGCAATCCAAATGTGAGAGGGTCCGTTGGAAACTTTTGCCAGAGCGGGAAGAAGCTTTGTTTTTTTCATGAGCATCGATTGAAAAATATTATGGGTTCGTATGGGACTTTTGAAGGCCGATACGCACGGCGATTAATCGCCGCGAGTGGAAGACGAAAGCCAATGGAGAGCCTTCATTTCGATCCATTGACGTCGATATATCGAAATGAAGGCTCTCCATTGGCTTTCGTCTTCCACTCGCGGCGATTAATCGCCGTGCGTATCGGCCTTCAAAAGTCCCATACGAACCCATAATATATTTTGTATCCGGGCCTTAAGGCGCGATCAGACAGCTCGGCAAGGCGCTCGACGAGCCGCACTGCAAAAATGAAATTGTTTCCCCGGAGTCCCGCACATAGCTAGCACAAGTGTGTTGCTCTTGTGAAGTTCGACATGCCGTCTGAACGCGCAGTCACTGTTCCCCAATTTTCATCTAAGTTTGAACGGATTATCTGAATATGTGTGTTCAGTTAAAAGCCTTTGGCACCCTTTAACTGACTTAACGATGATATTTAGGCGCTTATTCTTCTTTAAAACATTTAGAGCGTACACTGAGAAAAAGCTATGGTTTATAAACCTATTAGTGGTAAATATGGAACACCTATAATAGTCGTAAATAAACTAATGATTCTCGGTCTGTGAACCATACTAAGGTCTCTGTACCTAATTAAGGTACAGAGACCATAACTAAGGTATATNAAAAGCCTTTGGCACCCTTTAACTGACTTAACGATGATATTTAGGCGCTTATTCTTCTTTAAAACATTTAGAGCGTATAACGACGGTGAAACTACGAGACCACGTATCTCGGTTTGCAACGTCGCAGACTTCCCGCCATATTTCATTTTTTTGGATGGAAAACGACTCAACGTCAATTCTTGAAAACTTCCGTGATTTTTCTTCTTTGAGTGACGAAAAAGCTGTGAAAACTTCAATGAATGATATTGGTTTGTTTTCCTTTACAAAAGTAAAATGGAAGGATAGATTTTCAAACACCGCAAGCAAGATACGTGATCTGGTAGTTTCACCGTCGATAAACATAAAACTGAGTGTGATACTTGGATATATCCTTACAGCGCCCTCTCCCAGCTCTCAGTTTTGGAATTCCCTGCTTGTTTAAATTTTAACCATAAGACTGGGCACAGAAGTAAAACTTGCCTTGTACGGGAAATGTCTGTTGCGTATTTCGCAGGTGTTTTAATACATGCACGGAAAAAAAAAGTGTAAGGGGTTATCCCCTAAAATTGTGGTACTACCCCAATTTTATGGATGATATGGACATTTCCAATTACTTGTAGTGGTACCGCAACTCAAGTTAGGGTAGTACCGCAACATTTGGGTTAGGAACCTAATTTATTGGGGTACTACCACAATCAGTTGGGGCACTACCGCAAGTAATAGGGGTTCTACCACAATTAATTGGAAATGTCCATATCCTCCAACAACCTCGTGTTTTTTTGTATCCGTGTGGGCTTGTTGCAAACTTCAACTAGATCAAGAGGAAGAGTTGGACTGTATTTAGCAATTTGGAACAATAAATTCTGGCTCATCTGAAAAAAACACTTATGTGCATAGGGGAACTAATGGCACATACGTTGTTTTTAAACCGGGTCGGAATTTATAGTTCCTTATTGGAAAATTCAGTCCAGTTGTTCCTCACAGAAAATGGCTTAAAAATTACGATGGACGAATCTGGAAAATCTGGATTACACTTCTAACTTGACAATGGACCACTAGACAAGGTACGAATTTCAGCATTCTGATACAGGTTCCTTAACCGAAATTTCACGTAGAACACGATGCGCACAACAAAAACTACCGAAATCAACTCCTTACGAAGAAATTAAATGATTCTTGATGCGTGAATTCAAACCACCCGCTCATGAAAACTCAATGCTATACGTGATTCACATCGCGCGCTAAACGTCATCATATGACAGTCTCTGCGATATAAAAATCTGGCAACCTCAATCTTGACGCTTTGGCTCAGTTAAAGCAAATTGCATATAGTTAGAACAACACATGGTGGGAAATGAACGTTTGCTCGATTGAGATGCTCGCTGAAACCGCTGTGGTGCGCGATTTGACTTACGTAGAGCTTTGAGTTTCTTGTGAGCGGGCCTTTCAAATTCCTCGTAACCAATGTGAAATAAAAACCTTAATATCTTCCTCAGGAGTTGATTTCAGTAATTTTCGTTGCGCAAATCGTGTTCCGCGTAAAATTCTGGTTCGGAAACATGTATTACAATGCTTAAATTCGTACCTTGGCTAGTGGTCCATTTGTGCAAGAAATATGCGTTTCTCTAAGTTTCCGGCTTCAAAAACGATACTACGGCACGGCAAGGGGAGTCTTTCCATCCAACCCTTCCGCACTAAAATTTTACACAATTTTCAACATGGCTGACGCCTCCGCGCGCAAATTGTGAGGAAGCACCATGGTCTTTATCAACGCAAGGAAAATGTGGAAAATGTTGGATATTGCTTAGCGCCCTAGTGCGCGAGGCTTGGATGGAACGACTCCTCATACGAAATGTTCACCTGTGCCGTAGTATCGTTTTTCAAGCGGGAAGCTTCAAAAATCGCATGTTTCTTTCTTGTTTCTTGCGAATATAATATGCGACGATTGCTAACCAGGCCATGCTTTGATAAAAAAACAATGTGCAAGAGGATGTTCATATATTACGTTGATAATGTAAGTTTGCGTGTCAACCATGTTAAGGTAAAATTGTAAATATATTAACATCCTCTTGCACATTGTTTTCTTATTAAAGCATGGCCTGAGTTGCAATTATTGTATATTATATTTGTAAAGTCGCGTAACAGCTCAGCTTTTTCTTCGCATTATGAGTAGCCAAAAACCTAAAAATCTTATGATGCATGTATTTACCCGATCATGGTTTGGCGTGGGTGGGCGGCGGTGTCGGTCATACATTGTTTTGGCTCTCTCCAGAGGCTTCAGCGGCTTCGGGCCTCGCGATTCCATGTCCGAGTCTGGAAACGGTTCTTTCAAACGGCTTGAAAACGTTTTTAAAAACGTAGCACTGAAACGTCAATCACAGATAAAATACATTAAAATGTTAATTAAGGAAATTGCCACGCTGAATATCGTGCCTCCGGCTCCAAATATCTCCAGAGAAAACAAAAGGAGGATTTACAATCATTGGCGTGGCGTCCTTTCATCGATTGATCTACCATTTAAACCTATGGAAAAGGATCGATTGATAGGGTGTTCGCAGCGGACACCTTAATAAGCGATTCTTCACCGTATAGTTTCAAATGGGAAAATATCGATAATCGATCATTCGATCATCATGTAATCGCCACGAGTGTAGGAATGAGACAGTGCTGCCATTTCCCGGAATTATTTCCGAATTCTGGAACTTTTGCAATTTTTCGGAATCTTCAGAATTCCCGGAATTTCCAGCTGTTTTCAGAATCTGCCCGGAAATTCGGGGGTTTACGTCAGTTTGACCGATTATTTGATCAAATTTAAAGATTTTTTGGTCAAATTTGACGAGCTTCGGAACGAATTTCGGAATATTTTCCCGGAACTTTTGAAAAATCTAAATTTCTCTCGGAACTTTTGGAAATTGGGATTGATTCCGGGGACCCCGGAGTCTTTGGTAAAATAAAATGGCACCACTGGGTATGTTGCACGCAAGAGATAGAGTCGTATGCGTAGACTTAAGTGGAGAGGGTGGGGATATCACCAAAACCACGATGATGACATCGGATAAGTCAGAAATCATTGGCGGATCCACACACTTCAAACGGGTATTTTATTAATAATTATATAATTTCATGTTGGAATCTGAAGATTGGTAGTGACATTTTTTGTGTTAGAGGGTTGGCTGTCCTTTTGGGCTCCAAAAGCTCCATATTTTGAAATGTCTGTACTCTCCCTACACAGGTACACTAGAGGGCACATTTCCAATCACCCGCAACCTCAAACGACAACCTCATACTGCTTCGATAGTCGCCGATTCGTCGCTTTTTTTTTCCCATTTTGTTTTGTTTAAAGCGTGATCTTCGATATTGGTTCATGCCCAATTGCCCACGCACACCATCCCTCTATTTCATCGACTTGACGGTTATGCAGAAAAATATAATGTTAGAATTGTCGGTTTTCGTTACTTGCTAGTTACCGTTGCCCGTTGGATTTTGCGTGTATTTATCAATAGAGAGGGTTACGTAACCCTGCCCCTGACACCCCCTCTCTTCCTTGGTGCGGTGGCGTTTGCGGACGTGGCGTTTGCGGATTCTCATATTTTGATGATGGCGATTGCGGAAAGGCGGAACAGGGCCGCGTGGAGTTTGCGGACCAGAAAATTTCGGCGGTGGCGATTGCGGACGAAGGGGTAGGCACTTAATTATACTGCTCCCCACCCCTGCGCTGTATGTTAAAGAAAAAATTACCGGAGAGGCTCTGGATTCCTTTCCGTGGATGAAAAAAAATATTAGTATTAAACATTAGTATCATATTAGTATAAAAACATATGAGCAGTGAACATGCAGTAAATTTTTACAACATGCATATTAGAAATCAAGAACTTATGAATATTTTTCTTCCAATTTTTCATAGAATTTTAATCGCACTTTAATACACATTACCTGAAAATTTCATAGAAAAATATTCATAACTTTTCTCAAAAATAAACATTGTATCGAAGGAAATTTGGCAACTCTCGAATTTTCATACGGCGTTTTTCCTTAGCACGGCAGTTTGTACCTATGTACCTATGTATTTTAATTTTTTTACTTTCAGTAATTTTGGACCAGAATTTACAACATGTTTTGAATCCTAAAAATGGACTGAATCTGAAGATTTTTTAGTTTCTTGATTTCTGATATGCCTTTTTTAAAAATTTACCGTGTGTTCACTGCTCATATGTTTTTATATTAATATAATACTAATGTTTGATACTAATATTTTTTTTTCATCCACGGAAAGGAATCCAGAGCCTAGCGGTGTGCTTTATTCGGAAATTGGGTACTTCGGGGAAGGTTCGACACCAAGAAAATACAACTTTTCAACGACTTGAGCGCGCACCGTGGTATATGCGCAATGTATGAAGTATCCTGCAGACTTGTACGGCGCTATGCTATGTCGTCAGCGCACACCGTGCTGTACGCGCAATGCATGAAGTATCCTGCAGACTTATAAGGCGCTATACTACGCGTCACGCGCACTGTGCCGTACGCGCAATGCATGAAGTATCCTGCGGTCTTGTAAGGCGCGCCGTGCGCGCCGGCCGCACTGTGTTTGATGTGATTATTCAAACTTGCGGCGTCAGCGGTTTTGAACTTATGATTTTGCAGTTTTTGTTGAGTTTGTTATTGTCATCTCAAATGACAAAATATTACATAAAACCCAGCTAATTTGCATCTTTTCAATTATATTTTTATGAATAATTTTAAAGCCTCTCCGGTAATTTGTTTCTATAATATACAGCCCAAGGGTGGGGGCAGCATAATTAAGTGCCTACCCCTCCGTCCGCAATCGCCACCGCCGAAATTCTCTGGTCCGCAAACTCCACCGGCCCTGTTCCGCCTTTCCGCAATCGCCACCATCAAAATATAAGAATCCGCAAACGCCACGTATTGCCACGTCCGCAAACGTCACCGCACCCTCTTCCTTGTACTACAGCGTCACGTAAATACCCCCCTCCCCAGAGCGTTACGCAAATAATTATGAAGGCCGCCTAAAGGATCTCCTTAAATATCCCGTAATCACTGTGTAGGTGAAATGGACAGCATTCAGCGGAAAGGAGCCAGGCCACATCAGCTATGGCCAAATTTATTTCGGCAATTTAATTATTTACAAACGATCGTGCGAATTTGTGTGCAAATCTCAGTGAAGGTTCTGCATAATACGAGGGAAATTCCTCAAGATTTTCAAAGGAACTTGCACAAGCGTTCTCTTGAGGAAAAGTAAATTGCCAAGTGAAACCTAGAGGGAATGAAGCTGAAAAAAAGACTATGAATACGGTCTTTTGTAGTGGCGAGGCGTGACTGATCGACTATCCACATTCTCCCATTTGAAGCTATGGTAAAGAATCGATTATGTAGTTTGTTGCAAACACGCTCTGTTAATCGAGCCTTTTCCATAGGTTTAAATGACAGATTAATCAATATATCGCACAACACGCCACGTCTTTGGTCTTCTGGCTCTTTTTTAAAAAACCCCGATGAAGATATTACTGAGAATTGATGAAATCGTTGATTAGTAACACCATTTCATCACTGTATGTTGAGTTGAATAAACAGTCGAGGTGTTAGGTATTCACTTTTATGCCATTTGGACGTATTTCCACCAAACAGACCTATGTGCAAGTGAGAAATATGGGGTGTGCTCGTTAGTTCTCTGGCCGTAAGAGTGAATGAGAATAATAAAGCGCCCGTGACGTCAGCGGCAATGATCGAGCCCGGGCGCGAGGGGAGATGGTCGTCGGGGCGCTCTAACTCATGAGCCCTGTCCACAACGCTCTCTTGCCATGCCCGCGGCTCATGAATCCCGCATTCAGTTGGCACATAGGTCTCTTTGATAGAATGTAATATCCCGCTTTTCCAATTCTTGAAAGGGAATCACGCCCGCTTTTACACTGCTTCTTATGCAGATTTCTAGAGCACACCCCATATTTCTCACCTCCACATAGGTCTGTTTGATAGAAATACGTCCATTTTATAATGTTGAAGCTGAAGCTTTTTGGCTTTCGGCCATATTCAGAGCGTTATGTTTAACATCGGTAAACTGTAAACTACAATAATACGTGATAATGATAGAAAACACTTTTATGATCGCAAATGTAATAACGTAACGTACGGATAACGTGCAATCAATGGCGTGGCGTGCTTTGCGATATTTCGATTGATCTACCATTTAAAGCTATGGAAATGAATCGATAAATGGGATGTTCGCAGCGAACACCTTGCTAATCGATTCTTTGCCATAGTTTCAAATGGGGAAATATCGATAATCAATCATTCACGCCACGCCACTGCAAGAAATAACTGGTTTACTGTTGTATACTTTACCCGCTTGATATTGTTGCTGCGCCGAACCTAAAGCTCCTACTGAGACTGTTCCTCATCTTCGAGAGGGTGTTGGACCTTGGAACCGGGGCCCCCTCGCCTCCTCCATTCTAGAAATCAATGAACTTGCTTAGATTCAGACAAAAGTTTTCGAATTAATTGGGAAAGCGTCGTAAAATGCTCCGATCAGTTTCTATGGGATTTAAACGGGAACCTTTTATTGCCACATACGTGGAAATAAATGACGCCTAGCACCTAGAATCTAGGCTCTAGATATTAGCTTCGGCATGTCGAAAATCCACGAAAAATAACAAAACAGAAGCTGATCGACGGTAAAACTACCGTATCACGTATCTCGTTTGCGGTGTTTAAAAATCTCCGCTCCCATTTCCTTTTTTTTGAAGGAGAACAAATTTCTTGAAATTTTCACAGATTTTCTACGTGTAGAGAGGGGAAAACACGGAAGAGGGAAAAACACAGAAGTTTTCAAAATTTGACGTTGAATAATTTTCGTTTAAAAAATGAAGTATGACAGGAAGTCTACAACGGCGCAAACCGAGATACGTGGTCTGGTTGTTTCACCGTCGTGATGGTATAGGACTCATCAACCAAAAAGGAAGTTAGATTGTGACTATGGGTCACGCTGAGTAAATGATTAAAATTGAAAACCTCAGATCCAATAAAGCGTTGAGTAGATAGACCCGTTGGTATGACTACAAATTTAGCACCGATGGGTTACTAAACCATGAAAGAATTTTGACGTGCGAATACATTTATCAGACGCAGGTAAATGACGCAAAGAACACGATGCGCGTTTTAAAATCGCGAAAAATTAACCCAGAAACAGAGAGATGTGCAGTTCAAAAAGCGTAACTTTTCCGCAAATTTGAAACGACCTTGTTTCGCGTCGAACCAAATGATGTCATCCGACACCAATCAGGAGCAAAAATAGGTTTCTACTCACGCTAAGCGTCTTTCTACTCCATGTATATAAAACAATAGGAAAGTCGAAACTAAATCTTCATAGTCGAAGAATCTAATCTCATTCATGTTATTTGTAGTTAACAAGCAACAATGGCACGTTGAGATAAGTTTTATTTTAACGAACATCAGTGGGAAGTGTTAGAGAATAGCGATTTGACTGCCTTGGTACTTCACTTTAATCATTTCCTAGCTATTTCGACGCGTTTGATACAGTGGCGTGGCGTGAATTGCGATGTATCGATTGTTATGCCATTGAAACCTATGAAAATGGATCGATAAACAGGGTGTTTGCAGCGAACTGGTTTGATATTCGTTCTAGTCTTTAGACTTTTTAAAAGCGAGCTTGTCTGGGATTTTGGCTCCAGAATCACGCAACCAATCACCACGTGGTGTAACGTGGAGTGAATGAGGTTTTACATTCTATCTACTTAAATAAAATTAATTTTGTTAAGTTTATCATATTATTCTATTTCAGGATTTTATTTTATTAGGTATAGTTTTTGGGGGTTCAATAGGATTATATAATTGTGTTATTCAAAAAATAGTAGGTTATAGTTTTTTTTATTTAATATTTGTTGAATTATTTAAAGATTAAGAATTAGATTGAACTTGGTTTTTTCTTTTATTTTATAAGTTATACATGTATACACCGATGATTAGTTAATCTTAACGTGGTACTTTCAGGACCGTTTCAGGTTAAGTGACCCATTGTAAGAATAGCAAAAATATTAAATATTGGCAAATCCGAAAGCGTTGCCTGTCTTTTTACCTGTAAAACTCGGGGTTCCGCAGTGTTATGTACGTCTCCATATTTTTTTGGTCCAGCATTGATCCCAAGTGCACACAAGAGTCCACACTGAAGATACAAGAAAATAAGAGTTTATACTCTATATGTGTCAAATTCGATCGAATAGATTTATGAAGTGTAATGAAAAACGCCTCATCCCACGTCTTTGATAAAAAATATGAGACGAAGATTATATCGCTCTCAACCAAATGAATTAGACGATTTTTCAAATTTACACCCCGTGAAGAATCCAAGAACGATGCGAATAGACATCGGTATCAGTGACTAAAAGGTAACGAGGAAATATTTGATTTTGTAGGGTTTGGTTAAGCAGCACCAGTATCAATAGATTTGGTTGGATTCAGCCAAGGTGTTTGACTGTGATAAAATAATAAGGTACTTCTTAATGAAACAACTTTTTTCCCCGGTCAGTCCTATCGACTTGAAACTCATGATTTAGGCAGATACATGTAAAACTACGATTTTCCCAAATTTTCGTTAAGCGGGTTGCATACTCTGCCCCTTAATACACGATCAAGTGAATTTGAAGAGGCATCTTGTGGCAATCATTTCTTGGTCTGAGAGTGGTTTCCCTACGCAGATAGGCGCTTTTACAGAAGCGCCAGATATAAAATTTCCTTATTGCCATATGTAATCCAATTAATTTAGACGCTCAATAACATCAGTAAGATGACCCGAAAAGAATTTTTGAGATATCTCAATATGGGCACCGAAGAAAAATGGCGACAAAAGTGGAGATGTGCCCTTTTACGAATTGATCACTTGTTTAAAGGAAAAAATTTACTTGTGCCCTTTTTCTGTACGTCCCTTCAAGTAGAATATATTTTTCCAAACTACTGGATTTTCTGGATCTATATTTGATAATTATTTACGACGAAATGGGCTAAAACTACATATTTGACGCTTTGAAATTTTGAAAATTTCTCAAAGGAAGCCTCTCGCGTCCCCTGCTGCCCCCTCCCCCCCCATTTTGAAGTGTCGGAATCCGCCTAAGTTGGGAAGTGAAATTTTTCTAGTCTCTGTTGGGATTTTTGTAGGGGGTTACTTTAAAGTCGAAACTAACGTAAGCAAACGAGAGAAGCGTCTTACCAGCACAACACAGCGTAGACATGTTAACAGCATTGTTCGTGCCTGACTACGGAAAATCAGTTACAGGGAAATCTATTTATGTGTTCAGAGAATTCTTGTGGCCACGCGTTACTTTCAGAATCTCTAAAAATCGTGGGCGTCATACCACTTTTTCTGAGAATCTTGCACGCAGTATTAGTCTGAGACGCAGACCCTTGATATTTAGACTCCCATGGTAAGTGCTTTGAGTTTTTTGTCGGACTTTTGGAACGTTGCAAACTTGTGAAGTAATGACCAACATAAAGATTGCTCATTCAAACTGCAATTATTGTCGTCAATTCGTTCTTGGCAGTAAATGGAGGTACATATTTAAGACCACCTTCGTCTCAGTTCTAACATTTTATGAACGTTGTTTCTTAGAGCAAAATCGGGATATAATAACTTATTATAAGTGGCGTGCAACATACTACAACTTTTTTACCATACCGTAAACTTGGTAACGCGCGTTTAGTTTTTCAATCTCTTGTAAATTTCAGGCAACCCATCTACCTAAGTGAACGTCATAGTGACGAAGACATTGACGTTACTTGTCTGATCCTCACGATAGTCGATTGTCGCGGTTGGTTTATCACGCATAGGCACTCGAATACTGCCGTCAAAAGGAAAAGCGTCGTACAAACCTTCATAGGTTGCCAAATTTTCTTTGATAAAACACGAATGTCCTGGTAAACTTATGAATATTTTTCCTCTAATTCTTTAGGGAACTGGGGGGCCACGCGCCTTGACCGCTACGAGGCTCAACTCCCCAAGAGCGCTTTGTGGGTTGATCTACCATGAATATAGACAAAACTCTAAAAAAACAATTCATTGGTGACCATATTCATGATTGTGGGGCGAAGCGGTTCATTCGTTTTCGGCTATTCCTATGGAAAGAGAAGACAAGCAGTTCCAACGCTTTAGGGCGCTTCTTCAACACTGCGAGTTTAGTTCACTAGACCCTAGTTCACTAGAGAAGAACAAAACCCAACTTTTACCGCGTGTACCAGAATGGCGTCATTACCCACAAGGCAAAAGGTTATGTACTATAGTACATGTTACATCCGGAGACCCGAACGGCTGGAAAGGGCGCATCTGGCATAGAGTACAATAGAGTCGCAAAGTACTGGATCGCCGTTGAAGTCACTTTTCGAGGCTGTTTTGTCCAGTTCTCCGGAGACTAGTGTGCGGCGACTAGCGACGACGCATACACAGAGACTCGCGCTCAGCGCTCCCCACCTCCCCACTCCCGACTCGGCTCCGTTCGTCGGCTAGGTCCACACACATTGAACCAGCCAAGTAGGCCGGTAATAAGTCTGAAATTGAGTCCACATATGAATATGATCCAGGAGTAACATACATTAATGGATTCATTATGGCTTTGGATATCTATTTAAAGCAAAATTTGTACAAATTAATACCGATGGAATTAAAAAAAGTCGAAAAAATACAAGCAGTCCTTGATTTCTCCATAAGCCACCGTGTTAAAAAATTCCGGTTGGTTCACACTTGGTATAAGTCAGAAATTAAATCCCAATATGAATATTATCCAGGAGTAATATACATCAATGGATTCATTATGGCTTTGACTACCTTTAAATAGCAAAATTTGTAAAAATTAATGCTGATTGAATTATAAAATACCTAAAAAACACAAGCAGTTCTTGATCTCTCCATAAGCCGCCGTGTTACAAAATGCCGTTGGGTTCACAAATGGTTCACACTTTTCGGAGCACACGCGGCTCGGAAACGCCTGTTCATGGATTGGCTTCATCGGCGCTCCAGTACTTTGCGACTCTATTGTACTCTATGGCATCTGGTACCCAGAAGCGCCCAAAATATAGTATGTGTGGCTATGGAAAAATATGAGCTCAGAATGGAGATGTTGCATGTGTGAGGAATTTGTGATTTGACCAATGATTCTTTCGTAAAAGTTCGCGAGAAACACGATGGGCCACTGCTTTTCTCTGAATTCAACTCCTAAGCTCAAAAAAAGCTCTCAAGTTGAGGCCAAAATGGAGGAGATATCCCACGCTATCCTAAGAGTCCACCTCTACATCAAGACAAACTCTGCATGCAAAGATAGGGAGCAAATACATTAGCATTGATGCCGTATTTTCAGTTTTAGAGTCTCCAAATAAAGTGGCAGCCCTGTCAATGTATTTGCTCCCTATCTTTGCATGCAGAGTTTGCCTAGATGTAGAAGTGGACTCTCAGGATAGCGTGGGATATCCCCTCCATTTTGCCTCAACTTTGAGAGCTTTTTTTGAGCTTGGGAGTTGATTTCAGAGAAAACCAGTGGCACAGTGTTTCTCGCAAACTTTTGCATAAGAATCAACAGTCAAATTGCAAATTCCTCACACATGCAACATCTCCATCATCGAGGAAGGTAAGGTGAATCCAGGCTTGGAACTTCGCGATTTGGCCACCACGTCGCGCTGCTCTGACTAGCCGTATATATTTGCCAAAATAATAAAAATTGTAATACTTATTCAAGATTGGAGATCCAGGGGATATAGCAACATACGTGAGGAACACTCAGGAAAAAAATTTTCTCAAAATTCCCAAAAATAAAGTCTTAACTACGGCGGAAAGTAATTCCTATTGCGGCAATGAGAGGGGGAGAGAGAGAGAGAGAGAGACAGAACATGAGGGATTCCGTTGCGCGCTCGGCCGCCGCCGCTGAGCTGAAAGTTTCAGCCGTACTTTCTCTGCGCTTGTAATTCTAATTGCCCAAATTTTTGACTCAAAATTTCAAGCAAAAAATAATCTATATCTTGCGGATCTGCTTTTTGTAATTTGAGGAGTATTGTTTCAGTAATCGTCGAAGGAAAGTGAAATTCTCAGTGGTGACTGGTTCGGCGCTATATCTAATCTTGAATTATCCCTAATCGAACCTTGGATTCACCATGATGATTCTTCACCATGAAAAAGAAAATAATTTTGTGAATAGCCTGTCACGCATTACTGAAAAAATCACCGGAATCACTGAAGAAGTAAAAAAAAGTAGAAATTAAAGAGGAAATTAATTGAGTGCACAGAAAAAAAAGATCTGCAATGGTTGGAAGAGAAAGTGGCAGAAAGGCGGAATAGAAATCGCGAAAAAACTTTAAGGGAAAGTGGGGATGGAGTACGAGGATGGATAGCGGATCGAGTGGGCATAAAATGCGGAGATAGGGGTGATGCAATAGAAGGAAAAAGGAAGGAAGGGTCTGGAAGGGGTAGTAGACGCGCCCAGGGTATAGGTTAGGGTTTTTGCGTAGCTCACCTTTTTACAAATAGATAATTTTGTTCGGCTTTTAACTACAGTTCCTGCAAGTTTCAAGGGGAAAAATTCATAACTTTCCTTAAAAATAGTATTTTTTTAAAAGAAATTTGGCAACCCTCGAATGTTCATACGGCGCACTTTCTTTAGCATATCGGCTCATGCTAAGCTCATGGATAATTACTGCGGATTCAAACTCCTAGACGATTGTTCTGTGACCTTTGATCCTGTGACTTTGGCGCACATTTTTTGTGTGGATAGTTTCCGCGGACACCATCGGAAAATATCATTTGAATCGAGCAATCTCCCCCTTCCAAAAGAACATTTTGCACGAGCTAAAAGTGGTATGTAATAAATTGTGTTTTTTTGACACTAGGGAGCTATGGCAAGGGTAAGAAATTGTATAGTGTCTAGTTGCAAATTGTTTAATAACGCTTATGCACCGGAATAGGTAGAGAGAGTCTATAGGAATAACATCATTTCTAACTAGAAGTGAACTAATCGTACGAGTTTGCAAACTTTATAATAATGCTCAGTTGTCTGAAAAGCTCTTTTTTCGCAGAGAGAGAGAGAGAGAGAGTTCGCCAATTGCCAGACTTTAATTTTTGCGTGAAATTTTGCAACGCTGTAACATCATTTGACATTATCCTATCAGGATCATCTGGAGCTCTACTTTCGCTGTAAACTCCATAAAAAACGATTGATTTCAGTTTTGCGGCATCCAAACGCAAATTCTCGCCATTTGTTTTTTTGGCTCACTACAGACCTGTTCACAAATGTGAAATTCAGATTCAGCGGCCAAAAATATATGTGTTGAGGATTTCAGAAAGTTTCCTAAGACATTATTTCTTATTTGCCCCTATATATATGTGTGTGTGCTCTAATGTCTGGACTATTTGCGCACACTTTAAACTGATGACGTTTTCGCACAAGTCAGTGGTTGACGACTTTGTACCACACCGAAATTCAGACCGCATAGCAAGGAAATTGAAGAAGTAAATAAGAAAGTGAATAAATTAGAATGTAAGTGATAGGATGAAGTAGAGACGGCAAAAGGGAAAATATTTGGAATGAATTGGAAGAATTAAATGGGAATTAAAATAAGAATGAATCATATTAGAACATGATTCATTCTTATTTCAATTCCCAATTATTTTATTCTTATTTCAATAAAAATAAGAATTAGAATCTAATTCTTATTTTTATTCCCATTTACAACGACTAATTCATTCAAAATACTTTTCTTTTCCTCGCGTCTGATTGGTCATCCTTTACTCAAATTTCAATTTACATGCTCTTTCATTCAGCCATTCTACTTGCCGTGTATGCTGTTTTAATTTCTGGATGGCACAACGAGTTGTTTCTCTCACGCCTGAATGTAACTACATTTCAATTTTGCGAGATTTTTCCACGCAAATTACATTTTTGAGAATTTTGATGTTTTTTGACTGTAAATTGGACGTATTTCTATCAAACGGAACTATGTGCATTAAGACATGAGCCCTGAGACCCATATGAATATATGCATAACAGGGCTCACTTCATACTGCACATAGTTCCGTTTGACAGAAATACGTCCAATTTCCCCAATTCCTCTTCTGATTTCATGCAAAATCCAGGCATATTTTTGACCAAACTATGCTGGTTTCTTCTCGTAATAAATTGAATCGGTTGAGTCAATTTTGCAACCTTGGAATGGGGTTACGTTGCTCCGTGCGGGAAACGACAAAGTTCAGCAAAGAGTGTCCTGTGCGGTAACATTATTTGCTTAATCTATATTTATCTATTTTATTATTTATTTTATTTATCCATATCTTTAGCTTAATCTATCTACAAACTATATTTCGACGGTGTAAGTCGGCAATCACAAAACTCGGTTTGCGACGTTGCAGACTTCCTGCCACATTTTATTTTTTGAACGGAAAACTACTCAACGGCAATTCTTCGAAACTGTCGTGATTTTTCTACTCTGTGCGAAGAGAATTCTGCAAAAACTTGAAGGAATGATGTAAATTTGTTCACCTTTAAAAAATAACAAAGAGGCGGAGATTTTCAGACACCGCAAACGAGATATTTGAATGCGGACTTACGCCGTCGATTCGCGTTAATATTTGTGAGAAAAATGTCTCCCGACGTTATGCACAGGGATCAGTCAGATAGCCGCTCCTTTGACGCAGATGCAAGGGTGTATCTCTGATTCCACGTGAGCTCTGGCGTTCATATAACTTCATGCTTCAGGGGGCTCACGTGAAAAGAGATATACGGCCTTATAGTCCGTTGCTTACAATTCAAAAATGACAAAAACCCTGTGGTTTTGGATTGAAATATGCTGCTTTCAAAGGTCATTGGTTGCGTGTTAGGGAGTCATGCTGGAAGGAGCAACATGCTGCGACTCGTGCCTGGAGGAAGATGGCGGCCTTTTGAGTCCACCATTTTAGTTTCCTCAAAGCGCTGTCCCTCGTTGCTATTGGTCCGACTTTGATACCCAGTTTTTTGTGTAGGCAACGGACTATTACGTCATTGAACAGACGGCATGTGATAAAAAACCTCGTGTAATAAGTGATTCTCGAGAGAGCACAGCAACCTAAAGCGAATTTTCCGCTCTGTGTACCTAGGAGAGCACCCGCCAAGTGAATGCACCGCTCGCTGTGACAGCCGCGAGCTCTCCCACACGCAAGCAAGAACTTCGGTTCCCGTAAAAAAAAAAGTTTTTGGTTCAGGTAATCGCAAGCGCCTCACAAAAAAGTTCTCCATTTTTCCATTTTGGAGGAACTCAGGACTTAGTTCAAACTAGGGGGCTGTGCCCCCTGGCTGCCACGCGGCACAACCCCCAGAGGGCGCCTCGCCCTCTCTTAGGCCCGCTTCGACATAAGAACGACTAAAAAAAAAAAAAACATGAAAAGATGTCCATATCCGACTTACATTTGTCCAATCTCCCTTTGGCCGGGAACGATTGGACCAATAAGAATCAAATAAGAAAACCGCCGTGTATTTCCAACTTCAGGCCAAGACTGAAACGGAACGAATGGAACGTTGCGTTTCGATACTTTTGGATAGTCTAGTAAAGGAGCACACCTTCAATTCACTTACCTTTATACGTAAATTTATGCAGAAAAATTACGCTTTTTTTTCTTTAACACAAAATACTTTCGAATTGTTACATTCAACAGAGCTGGAAAATTTTTGAAATCTCATCTCTAATTGGACGCATTTTGAGGCTTTTCTGACGAAAATTTTAGGAATGAACACGATATTTTCATGTAAGACAACAGAGATAAATATCTTCGACGGTCTCAAACTTCTGCTTTTCCCGCACTTTCTCATCTTTTGTCTCCTCTTTCCTTCTCTTTTTTCCTCCTTTTTTTGCTGGCCACGTGCCTGGTGGTAAGCAAAAACTATTTGCTATTCTGAGAAAAATTTTTGATAACTATGAGGAAGTAACATTTTTACAACACTGTAATCATTTGATCCAGTTAAATGAGCAGGCTTTTACAGCATTGAAGTCTCAGGTTCTAGTTTGGTTCGGCCTACTTAAAAGTAAAAAGCACGAATTCGCTTGAGATAAAGCTAAAAAAAAAACCATGCTCGTCAATTTTTCAATCATCTTTAGAGTGCAGTACGGCCTTTTAACTTTTACTGAAAGTCGGCGCTTGCGAATTTTTTTTTACGCGAAAAAGAAAATGCGCCCATTGACGCACATTTCAAGCGAGAGCACTCAGTTCACGCGCCCTGTTGTGAAATTGGCTTCTAAAAAGGGTATGAATGTTATGTATGTATACGCTGCACGTTTCCTCCTCAACATTTCACGAGGATAACGAAACACACAACAGGATGCCTGAGAAGTAACTCCAATAGAAGATATATTCGTAAGTGTTTGTAATCAATATTGGTTAATAAGCAAAAATCCAAAACAAATCATTTGTATAATCCAACCTCCTTTTGATACATACATAAAAGTCGCTCTCACAGCGCTCTCTGCGCTTTGCGACGCCTAACCGCCACAAAACTCGGTCCTCCCATAGGTCATCTGTTATTTGTAGTATACAAGCAACAATTGAACATTGGAATACGTTTTACTCGTGTATTGTAACAAATATCAGTGGAAAGTGAGAGGTAAGTAATAGCGATTTGACTGCCTCACTATACATGACTTCGATCATTTTCTCGCTATTTCGACGCGTTTGATATTCCTTCGAGTTTTTACACTTTTTAATAGCGGGCTTGTCCGGGATTTTGGCTCCAGAATTACGCAACCAATCACCACGTAATCTACTAACGTGGTACTTTCAGAATATTAAGTAAAAAAAACACTAAGTCCAGTGACCCATTTTTGACTCATTGAGGGTGTGGCGACAACCTATAAATGTCAATTTATCCTTAAATCCACGATGTCCGTAATGGAAAAATCTGGTATGGTTGATATTTTGTTCGGGAATACAAAAATTCAAATTTAAGCGATAAAGTCTTTATTATTAATATCACAGTTATAAGCTATACTTTAACATTTGACGAGCGAAATCTCATGCAGTTTAGTTTTTCAGAAACGCAAAGAGTTATGCTGATGATCTAGGCTGATGCACCTTCATTCTATTCACCAAGAATGTTTAATCCCATACAGATGCACCGTCTTGCACGGCGCTCTAGAGACAACTATTTGAACACGTATGTTGACCATATTGCTGCCGGCTGAAATTGAAGGCGCAATATGCACCATCAGACACACGACCCGTCAATCCGGATAAGACATGGACAGCGTTACATTACATTTTGAAACTTGAATATAACATTGAAATTCATTATACAAAAAGGAATTCGTTACTCTTTAGGAAAACAATATACACGTGTCATTCGATTCTCTACTCAGATTGATGCTTAAAAAGATAAGCCAGAAATACAATTATCTCAAAGCGTGATGCGATTTTATAACCCTGGTATGGTTGTCGTCCATATTGCCTCGGGAAAAATGGAAGGCGCATCATGCACGATCCATGCAAACGCCTTGTTAGACTTCTTGTCGTCAATTTGTTTGTTCTCATTTTGGCGACTGAACGGTTCGTTACTGCCACACCAATGATCCTTCTGAAATTGTTGATTTTTCGCCACCTTAAATGCGTCGCACAATTTCCTTGTGAAATTTGTGATCAAAAGCACAGGCCATACTTAAGATGATGGCATAATTGTACTTCATCAATGTAACATTCATGTTCAGAGACAAAAACGACACATAGGCAACACACAGTACGTCTTACTTTTTACAAATACTAAAGATATTTCATTCTGACAAATGAATATTTTACTTAGAATTCACTGATTTTTAGCAGCAAGCAAAGACAAAAGAAAAACGTCCTTTCGATATTTTCTATTATTGACCTTGCAAATTACGATACCTAAAAATCGGAAGAGTGAAAATAAGATGTTGATAATGTAAATATATATGATGATCAAGTGAACTAAGAAACGGTAGAAAACATTGCAGACACAACTGTCACATATAAAAGAAAATTGAAAATTCATTGAAAATATAAAAAAACGTAATGTGTTCGACCGAATTACTGAGAAAAGTCTTTCTCGCATGATCTGGAGGATTCAAAGATTTTTAGAAAAATTCCCTCAAAAATTCACAGCATTTCGGCATAGGTGAGCATTTCGTATGAGGAGTCGTCTCATTCAGCCCTTTCACACCAGCACATGTCACACAATATTCAACATGGCTGAAGCTTTCGCGCTCAAATCGTGAAGAAGGACGTTAATCATTATCAACTCAAGGAAAAATTTAAAAATAAACCCGCCAGTTGATAAAGTCCCGTCTTTCACGTACCTTTTGACAGGTTGGCATCAGTTATGTTGAATATTGTATAGCATCCTGGTGCGCAAAGGTTGGACGGAACAACTCCTCTTACAAAGAGTTCACCTGTACCATAGTATCGTTTTGGAAGCAGGAAGCTTAAAAAAAACGCATATTCTTTACACAGATTGTGATGTTAGAAGTGTATTTGAGACCGCCCCGATGCGTTCATCGTAATTTTTGAGCCATACGCTGCCAGATATAAATCTTATCTTTGGTCTAGCTGAAGTTTGCAACAGGCATATTGTCCATCAGGAAGTGTTGAATCCCCGAAAGTAAAAGTTACCACCTGTCGCCAAGAGGCTAGTGTCTCTCTTCGCATCCTCTGGGAATTTATAATTGGAATTTCCGTAAATCCAACAGAAAATTTTTCTCCTTACACACAATAAAAAAAACTCCGGCCGTGGAAGCCGTACTTACGGGCTATAAAAACATACCGTCCACGTTCCGGGCTTAGAGGCCGGAAGTTCCGGGTTCAGCACCCGGAGAAATCGAAACTACGGCTTCAGCACCCGCAACTTCCGGCCTCCGAGCCCGGAACGGACGGTACATCTATATAGCCCGTAACTTTTTTCACTGTAGTTTTTTCAGAGGTCCTGTGCGTTGCTTTGTGGTGGCTTAGGGCATGACAGCTTCTCTTCATGGCACCCCCTTCCGGCGGGCGATCCTCAAGTACCCGCAGGTTCGGGGGCAGGGTCCTCATCTTGAAGGGCCGAGCCTTCGGGAGGGTGACCGTGGACGGACTTGATGAGGTCGGTGATGATCTTGTTCTTGAGCCGGGTCTCTTCGAGTCGACTCAGCCGGAGGGTCTCCTTCGTGTCCAGTCGGTCCAGCTTCGGGTCCGAGCGGCTTCGCTGCAGACCGGAGCTCGTTTCGCGGTCGCCCGAGTCTTGGGTGTTCTCCTCGTCGACCTCCTGAAAACGGTACGTCAAACTATACTGCCGTCACTCAAGAGCTTCATAGAGGTATCATAGATTCATAAATACATACATAAAAGTCGCTCTCACAGCGCTCTCTGGCGCTCTGCGACGCCTAACCGCCACAAAACTTAGTCCTCCCACAGGTCATCAGGGACTGATTGAAGCAATGGGACTGGGCATGAAACAGCACTTAAATATATTAAATCAATAGATGAAGAGAAGATATTTAATAGCTATTAGCAATAGAGAAGGAGAGGTAGAATAATATATATATTAATCATTAGCAATAGAGAAGGAGAGGTAGAATAATATATGTATTAATCATTAGCAATAGAGAAGGAGGGACTGATGACCTGTGGGACTCCCTGATATACTTATGAATAATAAGAGAAAAATGTAGCCTCGATACCTTCTTTCGTTTATTTTTTCCTAGGAGGCCTTTTGTTACCTTTTTTGATTATCGTAGTTTGTAAACCTACTTTCATATGTATTGTCTATTTTTAAAATTATGTTAATTCTATGTTTTGGTTATTTGTTTTTTTTTTGGTGAACCAAATATTTGTGTTTAGTAACATGTGATATATAGTGTCCTGCCCGATGATGATTCTGTGCAATCGAAAGGCCTCGTAGGAAAAAATAAACGAAAAGGAGGCATCAGGCGAGGAATTCTCTTATTATTCATACTACCGTGCATTCGAGAAATTGCCCCGGTTAAAACATGTATTTTTGAGGAAAATTATACGTTACTTTTCATGAAATTTTTAGATATGTATTTGAGAAAAATTGGGAACAAAGTTGACAATAAAAAATTGAAAAAAAATATTCACAATTTTCCCGGTAAATTAGGTTTTTCCTGAAGAAAATATGGCGAAGTCTGAAGCCTCATATGGCGTTCTTCCTTACTACAGCAGTATAAGAGAATCGTAAGAGGGAAATGGCGTTTGTGAGATAACTATTCGATCATGAGTGCCGGCCAAATTGCCACCGGTTGAAATTGAAGGCGCAATAAATACCGCCGAGAAGCCGAAAAAAAAACTAGAATCTGAAACGGACTGTGCTGTCGTGCTAAGGAAAAACGCCGTATGAAACTTCAGATTTTGCCAAATTTCCTTCAAGAAAAATCGAATTCACTGAGAAAATTGTGTATATTTTTCCTCAAAATTTGCAGTCAATTTTGTTCACGATTTACTCTTAAATATCTGCATATTTCAAGGAAAAATATGCATAACTTTCCTAAAAAATGCATGTTTTATTGGGGGAAATTTTGCAACCCTCGAATGTTCTTATGGCGTTTTTTCTTTAGCACGGCAGTGCAACGAGCGAATGGGGTTTATGAGATAACTATTCGATCATGGGTGCCGGCCAAATTGCCACAGGTTGAAATTGAAGGGGGAAAAATACCACCGAAAAGCCGACCTTTCAATAAGATGTCAAATGAACTGTACTACCACGCTAAAGAAAAACAGCGTATGAGCCTTCAGGCGTTGCCAAATTTCCCTTCGTAAATCACGAATATGCATCAAATTTGTAAATATTTTCATGCTAATTTTTCGGAAGGTTTCGCTCATAATTGGATCTAAAGTGCCTGATAATTTCAAAGAAAGATATTCATAATACCCAAATATCATAAATCATAAATACAAACATATCAACGGTGAGACTGCCAGACCATGTATCTCGGTTTGCGACGTTGCAAACTTTCTGCCATACTTTAACTTTCCAAACGGAAAATTCTTCAACATCAATTCTTGAAATCTTTCGTGGTTTTTATTTTCCCTCTCCGAGGAAAACCTTAAGGAACGGTAATGATTTGTTCTCCTTCGAAAAAGTAAAATAGGAGCGGAAATTTTGAAACTCCGCAAACGAGATACGTGGTTTGGCAGTTTCATTGTCGATGTGTGTCATTATCTTTCCTATCCAGAGAACGGAACATCCAAAAGCAAGAGAACCATAAGAGCCCATGGCGCATGCACGGCGTTTGTGAGACCATTATTTGAACGCGAGTGCTGATTGTATTGCCGCCGCTTGAAATTGAAGGCGTCATGCGTCGGAAAGACGACCCCTACATTAGAATGTCAAAAATGCAGGTATCTTAAGATATGTTTCAACTAAGGCATAGTGCATATCATGAAAAAAACGACCCAATCAGAATATGAAATGGACGGCATTTCCATTATGCTTCAAACTAATGAAATCGGGCCGTTTAATGCAGAGAGGAACTACATAATTTTACTCATAACAGATACAGCACATGTGCCTTTAGCCTCCTAATCTAGAGAAAGGTGCTTCCAGCGCGAATGGAATGCACGGCGGTTGGGAGATAATCATTATAACATGGATGCTGAGCGGTACACGGACATAATGTCCACTTTTTTTACATCCACAGACTTTTCGTCCACAATTGTTACGTCCACAGTTCTAAAGCCCACCCTATTGTTAAGTCCATTACTTAAACGTCCACTAAGTTAAGTTCACAAATGTAAAGTCCACTAAAATCAAATTCAAGCGTTATATTTTAGTCCGTGTGTAAAATTTTATTGACAGTATCGAAATGAGGAAATTGAAAGAGAATGAGGTGTTGTTATCGTGACTCATATGTATTTTAAATGAAATGTTGATTTCTTCTTTGGATTCATCTTTTCAAATTGTCTTTGGTAAATACTTGGTTTCATTTTCATCCTTGAAATTTCCGATATAAAATATGCCTTAAATGTACATTCTTTTTTCTTTTTTTTTAAAGACATTGATTACTTCATTTAAAAAACATTTACTTTTTTAATACGTGGTAAATATTTGTAAAACCTTTTCCAAGCAATGGCATCGATATGAATCTCAATGAGCCGTAGTTGTGATGAAAGAAACTGTACAAAAATTAATAAAAGAGGAAAAAACTAAGAAGCACGCAATTTTTTGTTTGCAACTTATTTGTACATCGACCTTCTTGAGTCAAATACGTCCAATTTTGAGCGTTTAGTTGCGCTTACACCCCGCTGCAGCACAGTAAAAGCCCAAAAAATAAAATAATAAATTTAAATGCTTTGGAAATCATTAAATGTGACACGGAACTACTCTTACATTTACAAAAAACACATTATATTTTCCAGTAGTACATATTTCTTTTTCATCAGTTTAAAAGGGAATAATCAATGCAGAGAGTGCAAACATTTCAAAATCATGAGTTGAATAACTCTGACTCCGCGAGTTTAAGATTAGAGCCTAACACAGAGCGGAGCGGCGAGTTAGCAGCGTGACACGCGCATAGGTGCCTACAAACCTAACGGGATACTTCACGCATTGCGCAACGCGTGAAATATCCCGTTAGGTTTGTAGGCGCCTATGCGCGTGTCACGCTGGTTGCCTGCCGCGCCACAACGCATTAAGCAACTATTTCGCGTCAGAGGCGTTGCACAGTATCCTACAAGAATGAAGGCGCACGAAATAACTAGTTAAAGAGGACATTCAATTTTGACAGCATCTGTTACTGAAAAATGTTTATTTTGGCATTGGAGCGTTTCCTAGGCTCCCGCTTCGGTTTTCATCTTATCATATCCGTACAATGTACACGTGAACATATGTTTTTATCTACTCTTAGAGTCTGTTCTCTTTCATGACTTGATTCATGAATGAAATGTTTTTAAGAATGAAAGTAGTAGTAGTATGCATTTATTTTTGAGGTGGCTCCTGTCATTTAAATGAGAAGAAAAAAATGTGGACATAACATGTCCACAATTTGGACAATTTTGGACATATTCATAGTTGGACATTAAATCATGTGGACTCAATATAGACTGGACTTGATGTTTAGTGGACATAAATAGCGGTAGACATTTATTTAATGGACGAAAGGTAGGTGGACATAAAGTCCTGCTGGAAGCTGCTGAGCATATTAACGCCAGTCGAAATGAAAGGCGCAATACACGCTATCTTTGAAATGGACGATATTTCAACTGTATTTGGGGATGACATAGGCTCTGAAGTAAATTCAGTTCAGAGATCTCTTTGAGATTTCAAACAGTGTATATTCAGGATGTAGTAGATTTTAGAAGATAATCGCTGAAATTTAATAAAGGCTTAAAACTTTCCTTATTTAGTTTTTTTCCTGGACAAAGTTTTTAACGATTTTAGCGATTTTATTCTTAATCTAAGTGTACTTTCCTTGTTTTTTAGCCTTATTGTCATCATCATTTTAAGTAGTAGATTTGTTAATAATTTAGTAGCATTTAGCTTACCCTGATTTCTGAAAAGGTGACTGCTTGAGTCCTGTATCGAGCTCTATCGTCCCTCATTTTTTTCCGCGTGGCTCTTTTGTAGACATTTGACAAAGGCTCGGGATACTTTGTGTCCATCTGCGAGGGGGCAAAAATAAATTCAAGTTTAGACCAACAAATTCCACCAAAATATTTCAGCAAACGATTTCATTTAAAATCACCATTTCATTTAAAGCAGTTCTTAAAACTAGGTATTGAGGCGTCAACCTCAACCTTCTTGAGACCATTTTTTTTCGCCTTGCTCCATCCGTGAAGTAGGGATAAATTCAAGATCAGATCAACAGATTCCATCAAAACATTTCAGCAACTGGTTTCATTTAAAGCCATCATTTGATTGAAAAGCAGTTCTCAAAACCAGGTACTTAGGCCTCAAATTTCGTTCGATATATCCGTGAAGTAGGAGGTAAAACGGAATGCCACACAAAACTGTATGAGCTGCGTTCAGGCTAACTTCTCACCATTAAAATGTTATTAGTTCTAGAGATTTTTCGTCAATCTTGCGTATTTCTTATCGAAATACATGTGCGAAAACTTGTATCAATGTCCATTCTTATGAGTACTATACGTTACAGCAGACTATATACTTCAATTTTATTTCGGGTTCAATTGCCTAGTTTTGCAAGTAAGGAACCATACTCATAATGATTACTTGATGATGGACCAAAATGATACTTGGACCGCGTTTGGTAGATAGGTATAGCAAGCCACATGAGCTATCGCCAAATTTATCTGGGCAGTTTTATTTTTTACAAGAGAACGTTTGTGCGGATTCCTTTGAAAATTCTAAGAGATTTGTTTCGTACTATGCAGCACATTCACTGAAATTTGCATAAAAATTTGCACAGTCGTTTGCTTGTAAAACATTGAAAAGCTCAATTAGATTTGGCGATAGCTGATGTGGTTTCGTTCCTTCCTGCTTAATGTGGTCCCTTTTTCTGATAGACATGTGTATTCCATGCAATGCGCACTATTTTCAGGATATTTTTTTTTTAAAATTTCCACAATAAGGAAAGAAAATCAGTTTGCAAAGATTCACAGACAGAGAGCTCATTTTACATGATAAGGTCCAGGAGAAGAGGGATTTTGGTGCTTAAAATAACGTACACCAAAGGTTTACCCATAGAATCTATACACAAGCCACTGAAAAAATGGTATGCTGTTTTAGCACCAAGGATATTAAATAAAATGTGTCTGGTGATTCTAAGATGCTGCCATGATTGCCCACGCAATTGAATTTGCATTCACAGGATGTAACGTTAACTGCGGGGGAAATAAAGGCAGCATCTTGGTCATCACCAGACACATTTTTGACATCCGAGATGCTAAAACAGCATATTACCCTGGTAAAAATTGGTAGTAGAATCTGTGTTCCAAAATACCATAGACCTACAGCCGGTTGTAAGATTTCCAATAGCTTCTATAGCCGGCTACACAATTTCTTATAGCCTTTTATAGCCGATGGCGATTAAGCAACAGCCAGGCGATAAAATGTATGCGAAACGTTACTAATTACGGATGCTAGGACTTAGTGAGTTTTTGGAATACTGCTCTCTTTGTGGGCCGTAGTATCTTGATTTATTTTGCGAGGAAAGCTCCGCACTTTTGATGGATGCCTGCCATTACTAATATATTAGAGCGCCTTCAGTTTCGTATGATACTGTGCAATACCTCTGGTGTGAAATAGTTGCTTCAAGCGCCGTGGCAGGCGGGCAGTCAGCGCAAACACGCATTGGCGCCTACAAACCTAACAGGGATACTTCAAGCGTTGCGCAATGCGTGATGTATCCCTGTTAGGTTTGTAGGCGCCAGTGCGTCGCCGCTCCGCTTTGTGTTAGGCTCTAATATTTAATCTGGCGAAGTCAGCATTATTCAACTCATGATTTTGAAACGTTTGCACATCCTGTATGGATTATTATCATATTAACTAATGAAAAAAAATATGTATTTTTAAAGGAAAATATGATGTGTGTTTTGTGAATATTAAGGTGGTTCCGTATCAAACTTAATGATTTCCAAAGCACACAAATTTTTACACAATTTCTTATAGCCTTTTATAATCGATGGCGAAAAAGCAACAGCCAGGCGATAAAGTGTAAAGCCCGGCGATAGGAACTATAGCCCGGCTGCATAATTTTTTATCGCTTCGTATAGCCCGGCCATATGATTTTCTCCGCATTCTACAGCCAGCTATATGATTTTCTGTAGCCTTCTTTAGCCGGCTATAAAAATTCCTATGGTTTTTTGAAACGCGGCTCTTATCGCCAATTTTTACCAGGGTATGTTTTTCAGTGATAAAAAACCAAATTCGTTTCTTAATCAAGAGGCACTATAAGTCCCCACATAGGTTCCTGCACATTGGTCCGATAAAGTTAAGTACGTCTGTAAAAAAATGGATTATTTGGAGCAAAATGGACCAACAGTTAGAAAATGTAATTTTTCCTTATATGTTAATATTTACATGTCACGTTTATGATCTTCTTTATTTTATGTTTTTTTCAAATTGATAGACCTTAAAAAATCAATATTTCCGATTGCTTTTGGTTGATTCGGTGCAATTGAACCGATTATTTTCCAAATCACGCAAGCGTTAATCTCTGTTTTGGTGGTAGACGGGTTGCTTCTTCTTTATTTTCTCTGGTATAATCAATCATGTCTACTTTCAAAATAGTCCTTTAAAAGAACATACATTTTTTGGAATTTGCAGATTGACAAAAAGGCTAGTAACACGGGCTTTCTTGTTTTCCTCGCATTCGTAATTTTGGCGCTTACGTGATCCGGAAAGTAATCGATTCAATTACGAAGGCGATACAATTGAAGAATATCCTTCGGTAAGATTCATACCGATTTGCTCTAGCTTCAAATTGGTGTTTTTTACGATGAGTGTTTCTTCAAAAAAAAACAACGGAGCATTAAAACCGAAGCGGAATGGATTGACGCACATAGACTTCTCCGTCTCGAGTCGTGAACTACCAATTTTGAGTGACACACGATTGCAGGGATTGTCAACTCCAGTATGTCCTTTCACCCGAGTCTGAAAGAAAATGTTTTCATCCTAAAAGCTTTTTCAGAAGAGACTTCGTTGCCATTTTACGCGTAAAAAAATGAAATTGCTGATTTAACAATTTTATAGTTTAAAAAAAGCCCGAAATGTTTTAATGCAGATTTTACAATAAAAAATACTACTTGAAACATGCCGTACATATTTTCCAACAATTTTATTGTTAAGTTAGCAATCAATTTTTCTGTGTACTGTATTGTTCACTATAATAGACGGATACCTCCCCTCGTAGCTCGAACAGCGTGAAGTTTGATCCTGAACTTTTCAGCGGCTATTTTCTAACGCGTGTTCAAACCGGTCTCGAACCGTAAATGTGGTGCACATCTTTCTCTGATACAGTATTGGATGAACAATTAAAGATTTTCGTTCAAATTAGGATTTAAAGTGCGTTATTCATAACATTTTTTTTTCTTAAAATCAGAAATGAAGCGACGCATAAGTGTAAGGAAAAAATTCGAAAAATCTTGAAGATTACTAAAGCAAGACAGCTGTAAGACTTTTTATAGTAATTCCGATTCAATGCGTCCATGCGTTCAAAATAATCCATAAAGTTGATTATATAATACTAATAATGGATAATAATACATGATGGATTACTTTTATCGTCTTAGCACCATCACATTGTTGACATAATGTTGGACCAAAAAATCCAATTACATTGCGGAAACATTGACCTTTTTGCTTGAATGTATCAACCTCAAAAGCAGCGTCATAAATAACTGAGGAAAGCTGTGTGTTTATTTGGATCATTTGTGCTGACGTAAAAATTGATGGCCATTACACACGTCATCACGTCATCACGTCATCACGTCATCACGTCATCACGTCATCACGTCATCACGTCATCACACCGTTGCAGTCGAATTTTCTCTGAATAGGCCAGGTAGACCACGACGGCATATCATCTAAACACATCGGCGGTGTGGTTTTTTGTAACATTTTGTTGAGAAAAAGTATAACCGATTCACATTGAGATCGAATCGTTAAAAAGAAGTTTGAAGTTCGATCCCTCCACTCAGCTCTAAAGTTGGGCGCCTAATGTCATATTCAATAAATTATTTTTGACTCCGCATTTTCAACAGGTGAAACAGTGCAGCTGGCGAAGCTCAAAAGGCCGTTTTTGGGGGGAAAGAACTTAAATTTATTTCAACGTTATAACATTTTCCCGTGTAAATTTATTCTTACTAGAGACTAATTCGTATCTCTAACAACAATTTTCACTCATTTATCCTGAGATTGCGCGCTGAAATCAGCAAAATGTTTAACACAATCGGCACAGTCTAATTCGTGCAAAAATTGAAATTCAGCTGTGCAATTTTGGAATTATGTTACGTTTCTTTTTTCGGCAAACGACGGAGATTACTGCCAACCCTTTCTTCCCCACAGGGTGGTTGGGTGCCGGCTTCTTGCTATTAAATTAATTCCATTTGTACCTGAGAATAGTACTGTCCCACTAAAGAAAAACGCCGTATGAACATTCGAGAGTAGCCAAACCTCCAACGAAATGTTTATTATTTAGGAGAGTTATGAATATTTTCTCATGAAATTTTCAGATTATTTAGATCTAATTACAAAGAAAATTCCCTGAAAAATTGAGCGGAAATTATTTACGAGTTTTTCGGAAAATTCGTATTTAATTTAAGGAAATTTGGCAACTGACGAAAGTTCATACGGCGTTTTCCCGTAGCGCGGCAGAACAGGCTCTGATACACACACGTGTTCGGGAGAGATTTTTTCGTACAAATTGAGTATGAATTTGCTACTAGCTCTTTTAACTCAGTCTAAAACCAGGCATATATACACCACAACGTGTGGTTTGACAGATGATAGAACATAATCACACTTTGCAAGGTTGTAAATTTACTTGAAAATTTTAATTTTCATAAAAATATGACTGCACTATTTCTATTCAAAATTCTTCTGGTCTTTGCCTATTTTCAAAGGAATCATCGGCGATTCAGTGAAAAGCAGTGGCGTAGCGAGCAATTGTCCATGGGAGAATCTGCGCCCAAAAATTGCTTTCAAGTGGGAAAAGGTAGTCCGAAAGTTATAAATTACTAAAAAAACACGCAAAATAACGTTAATTTGGAAAAATGTCTCAATAATAGGGGGAGAGATAGACAGCATAGATCCCTCTTTCAACCACATGAATATTTATTACTGGCTTATTTTTGAACTGCGGGCCGATTATTGAAACTTATAGACAAAGCTATAGACAAAGACGACAAAAGGGATTTGGAGGGATCCTATTGATGGAAACAAGTAGTGGCAATGGATATAGGAGGTAGGTTATGGACTAACTAACGGCAACCCACTAAAGACCCGACAGTTAGTCCATCATTTCCTTCCTTAGTCTATAAGAACCAACCATGTCAATCAATAGGATCGCTCCATACTCCGTATGTCTTCTTTGTCTATCGCTTTGTCCATCAGTTTCAATAAGCGGCCCGCTGGTAGACAAAAGAGTAGACAAAGAAGATGCGTCCACCGAAAAGGTGATTCATCTTTGAATCTCCGAAAAACCACGTTCGGCTTGAGCTTTCGAGCATGAAACGATGTTGCTGTTCACCCAGCAGTCTGATTTTTGAAATTGATAGAGAAAGCAATAGACAAAGAAGACAAAGAGGAAATAGAGCGATCCTACTAGTAGAAACTGGTGGATGCAATAATGGACAAAGGAGGTATTAGACGAACAACGGCAAACGGCAACCCACGTGAGACCAGCTCCGTTTACCCGATAGCAGCCGCCTGTTTCAACGTATAGAATCGCTTCGTTATCCTTTTATCTTCTTTGTCTATCGCTTTGTCTCTCAATGGAGAATTTGCATGAAGAAACTTCATTGCTGCATCTAAGAGTGCTGAAAGAGCCGATTTCTCAGTATGTTTTATAATTTTTTTCTGGTATGGGGAATGGTATAAAAATAGATCTAAAAGTGGAAAATGCACCGCCGAGTGACTTCATTTGGCGGCAATTTCCATTTAAACACATGTATTTTAGCAGATTAGAAAATTTGGTCTTATCTCCTCCGATAATTTGTCACGGCTCATCTCAAAGAACGTAAGTGCATTTCAATGTTGCCGGATTTTCCGGCGCAAATGGAATTTTTCCCCGCAGAATTTTGAAAATATCTCATTGAAAATTTCACTAATTTTTCCGCAGTTCTCATTAAAAAATCGGACAAATTTCCGACGAAAATCATGCAGGTTTCTCTCTCGTAAAAAATTCGATTATTCGAGTCAATTTCGCAACAATTGAATAGAGTTACGTTTCTTCGTGTAGGAAACGACGAATCGTTCAATTTACAAACAAAGAGTATCCTCGTGTTCGGTTCACTTCGTTATTTCCACTTAAACACGAAATTCATCGAATTCCAGGGTATAAAAATTCTCCGTTCGCGAGCGAAAATTGGCAACGCTGAAACGTAGTTAGGATTTTTGGCCGGGAATCACGACGGACTTACCGTGCTTTTTTGTCCACTTGCACTCTTATTTTCAAATGCAATACCGATAACGAACCACGCGAACTCACATGACGCGTTGACAGGTTTTGCGAACTCGGGGTGAAAATCGAGCAAAAAAACAAAAATAAAAAAACTCTAAAAGCCGCGCATCGGAACGGGTTTTTTAAAAGCTCCGGTGACTGACTGGCGTGACACACAGTCCCGCGATCCGTCCCGCAACGCCGTTCTCCCAGCCTCGGCGTCGGGAGAAATTTCTAAATTTAAACCCCGACCGACGCCCGACGGCCCACAGTGGGTCGAGCCCAAGGGGGAGGTCGGACAAAATTTGGAAAATTTAAAGCTCACAACTCTGTTCATACAAAACATCGAGGTTATTAAAGCGATTTCAGTAGTTTTTTCGTGAAATTTCCTTCCAGAAGTACCCCTTAAAATTAAAAATGTGACGAAATGAACATCAGAATTTGCACTAAGAAAAATTCTCGGCGTTTTTACCACGGTCCGTTGGTATCTTTACCATCTCACTTTTTTTACCAATTATTTGTACTTTTACCAAGACAGACTGGTAAGCTTACCTAAAAACTGGTATTTTTACTGGTTTTTCAGGTAAGAATACCACTTTTATTGGTAATCAATTCCCGGTAACTTTGCCATTTTATCTCGGTAATTCTACCACAGTCGATAAAAAATATTGGCGTTTTTACCACGGTCCAGTAAAATTACCGAGAAAGTTCAATAATTTTACCGAGATTTCTCGGTAAAATTACCAATTCCATATATGATAATTTTACCAAAAAAAAACTGGGATCAAATAGAACCTTGAATTCTTGGTAATTTTACCCTTTTCTTAGTAATTACACCGAGATTTTTTTTTTCAGTGCGAGGTTATGAAAGTGATTTCAGTAGTTTCTTCGTGAAATTTCCTTCCAGAAGCACCCCTGGAAATTCAAAATGTGACGAAATGAACATCAGAATTTGCAATTTTTGTGGAAAATTTCATGTCCAACTTATTCTCAAGACTCGTTCCTTCGTGCGGCCCGGCGTCCGGCCCAATGCCCTAATGCGAAAAGCGCCGCCAAATATCGCGTACGCAATTTTTAACCCCGGACCCCCCGCCCCCTCCTCCGGGTCTTCCTGGGGCGGGCGACGTATAATTTATCGTGAGTCATTCAACCAGCTCTTAGTCCGCGTCCCGCGCGTGTAGCGCAGCGTTCCTTGCACTTTTCACACAGACATGAGAATTTGAATCATTTTATTTCAGCAAACGCATGTCGAGCGGGGCGATTGTTGAAATAGATAGACAAAACGATGGACAAAGAAAACGTAAGGTCGAGTATGGAGCGAACGATTGTATTGGTTGGAATGGATAGTTCTTGGACTAAGGGAGATAATGGTGGACTAACTAAAGGGTATCTCGTGGGTTGCCGTTAGTAAGTCATATCTACCTCCTTTGTCCATTGCAACCACTCACTTCCATCAATAGGATCTTACAACGTACCCTCTTTGTCTATCAATTTTTCCACCGATTTTAACAATCAGCCCGCTGTTAGTGACTTTTGGATTTCTTTCTAGAACAACTGAAATTCCCAATTCAAATTGAAAATTACCAAAAAAAAATCGATGTAGTTATAGCTCCGAAACGCGTCCCATAGATAGGAAGAGAGAAGAAAAAAAAATCATTTATGTAAAGGTAAACAATGCAATATGTAAGGAGGGGTTATTATAATATGAGAATATGTGTATATGCATAACAGGGCTTACGTCGTAATGTACGTAGTTCCGTTTGGTCCAATCCGTCCAATCGGACTTGAAAAAAGACCGAAAACGACCAAATCATGATTTACTCCATACGATATAAACCTTTCAATGAGCAACAAATTGTAGAGTTGAGGAAATTTTGCTAGGGTTCCGCCCGAAAACAGCACTTTCCCTACCCATCTTTTCGATTCATCTTATTTATTTGGCTTCTGTAGATCCTGACTAAATTTTTGTTGTATGCTCACTGTTTACAACAGCCAAAATTATATTGGAACAACGAAAATCTGCAAATGAAGTTCTTCGAAAATTAAAAAAAAAAATTCATGAATTTTCCGAAAATTTTGTATTTTATCGGACGAATTTTGGCAACATTGGATGTCCATATGGTGCGTTTCCGTATCACGATAGCGTAAGCGAAGATGAAAGTAATATTAAAGCATTTTGTCACGTGAATAATGATAACGGATGCACCATGCATGTACTCGCTTGTGCCTCTTACCAAGGAACATTTCAAGCGATAAACTCTTTAAACCTTACGTTAAATGGGTGTCGAATTGTACGTAAGGTGCACCACTCAGATAATTACCTCTTGTTAAGCGCTCACCTGATGTCTTCATAAACCTTCAACCGCCACTTCAATTATCCTCCCGAGGTGTCTGGTCTCTGGTCTAGCGGGAACATTGAGCCATTAAGAACCTAATTTATCTTGTGCCGACGAGTACCAAGCGACGTTGCGCTTCTAGCGGTTTAATTCCCCCCCCCCCCCCCCCCCCCCCCCCCCCNTCATTCCACTTCGCTCGTAAATATGTACTGACATCGTAATTCGAGAGGATTTAAAGGTTCTTGCTTGGTCCTATTTTTCTGCTACGGATTTTTTTTCGTCCCTGCCGTTGAGCAGATGGGTCTCAGGACATTTTGTCAACGATTTTTTGTCCGCGCACCTTTTTTGTCCAGTATTTTACGCCCACACGTAAAATAAGCAACGGTGACTTGGGCCAAGCGTCATATTTTAGTTGGTATGTAAAATTATATTGACAGTATCGAAATGAGAAATTGAGAGAGAAGGAGGTGTTGTTATGGTTGTTCATTTTCTAAATGAAATGTTATTACTTTCTCCTTTTGAATCATCTTTTTAAAATGTCATTGGTGAATATTTGGTTTTATTTCTATCCTTAAAATATTCGATGTACAATATACCTTATATGTGTGTAGGTAATTTTTTTATTTTTTTAATTTTTTCTTTACGAAATTATTACTTCATTTTGAAAACATTTATATTTTTAAAACGTGGCAAATATTTGCAAAACCTTTTCTGAGTGACATTAATCTCAATAAGCCGCAGTTGTACCGACAGGAACTGCAAAATTGAATAAAAGAGCGGAAAAAACCAAGAAGCACGCAATCTTTAGTTTTATCCCATTTGTACATCGATCTTTCAGAGTTAAATACGTCAAATTTTGAGCGTTTGGTTGCGCGTACACCTCGCTGCAGCACAATAAGAGCAAAAAATGTAAAAGAAAAAATTAAAGTGCTTTGGAAATCATTTTTGACACGGAACTACCAATATTTAAAAAACACACATCATATGATTATTCTCCTTTGATAAATTGATACATATTTTTCCCCATCAATTTAAATGAGAATAATCAATGCAGAGTGTGCAAACATTTCAAAATACTGAGTTAAAAAACACTCACTATGCGAGTATAAATATTAAAGCCTAAAAAAGTGGAGCGGCGTGCTGCCAGCGCAAGAGGCTCACTGGCGCCTACAAACCTAAGTGGATACTTCACGCATTGCACAATGCTGGAACAAGCTGTCTACAAACCTAAGTGGATACTTCACGCATTGCACAATGCTGGAAGTATCCACTTAGGTTTGTAGGCGCCAATGCGCTCTTTGCGCTGGCCGTCCGCCCGCCGTGCGGCGGCGCCTGAAGCAACTGTTTTACAATAGAGGCGTTGCACAGTATTATAAGAAACTGAACGTATTAGGAATGGCAGGCATCCTTTAAAAGCACAGATCTTTCCTCGCAAAATAAATCAAGATACCTCTCGTACACTGGAAAAATCTAATAGCCTTTAGCTGAGGCAAATAAAGAGGTTTATCCGGTTCAGGTATAACAAGGAGGGAATTTTTTGAAAGATAATTAAGTCCTGTTACACCAAAGAGGTGTAGAGAGTTTTAGTGAATTTTGTCTCATGGAATTGACGCTCCCCCATTTTTACCAAAACTCTCGACTATATGTTATTCTCCGTTGGACCAAACAGATAAAACAACAAGTTGGATTTTGCAATCGCTAGCGATAGCAATATTCGTCATGGGAACGTTAGCTTCTGGGATATGAAAATGTTAAGGTACAGTTCGTTTGTAGTATCTTCTGAATTGAAGGGGCTATGTAATTTTGTGTTGACATCTCTTTTTTAACATTTTTAATTATTTTCTTTGCATACAAGAAAGCTGTTATGTACCAATTATTTATTTTCGTTGGATTATATATGGTTTTCGGAAGTTAACGCATTTAAGTTTCAGGTTCGCTTTTTCGGCGTAAAGTGTACATAAGGTGTCCCAAAAGCACCGGGACTTGTTCTGTAACTTCGAAAGTAAGATAGATACAGACATGATCTTGATTTCATTTTAAAGATCAACTCAATACCTATCGATTAAAACCAAGATCAGCTCAATCGGATAAAAATTGACCGAGTTATGGCAATTTGAAATCAGCGAGGAAAGTTTACGCCTACGGTTTTTAAGGAAGATTCTTCATGGCCGTAAATCGAAAAGTCGGCCGATAAAGTGATGCTTATTGTGTTTTTTTATTTTCGAGGTGTCATTTATCAACATTTTGTACCATCAAACACAACAGTTGACAGTGCGTATTATTGCAAAGTACTAAAGGAGTTGAGAATGCACATTTCCCGGAAACGGTCGGACTTGAAAGCTTCGTGGATACTCCATCAAGATTCAAGACAATGCGCGGCCTCACACATCGAGCTTAACACGTGAATTTATGAGTAAAAATGGAGTTGAAACAATCCCTCATCCCCCTTACAGTCCTGACTTGGCTCCATGTGATTTTTGGATGTTTCCTGCGCTTAAAAAGGAGCTTCGCGGACGAAGATTCGTATCGAAGACAAAAATCCAGAATGCAATTCAAAACTTCTTCAACTCCATCCCAGAGGAAGGATTCAGGAAAACAATGTTGGATAAGTGGCAAGAGCGCATGAAAAAGTGCATCCGGTTTGATGGACGGTACTTTGAAAAGCAAAAGGAAGTTATGGAAGATTCGGAGGAAAGTGGATACGAATATTAACTTTTTGAATCCTGGTAAGCGAAAAATCTTCCTAAAAACCGTAGGGGTAAACTTTCCTCACTAATTTCAAATTGTCATAACTCGGTCAATTTTTATTCGATTGAGCTGATCTTGGTTTTAATCGATAGGTA